AGTGAAGCATAAAATAAACACAGGTGATACAATGCCAATTCGTCAAAGGCCCAGACGCATACCATTCGCTCGTGAGAAAGAGGTTGAAGAAATGATTGACGATATGAGGAAAAATGACGTGATAGAGCCCTCTTCTAGCCCTTGGTGTTCACCTGTCGTGCTTGTCAAGAAGAAAGATGGTTCAACGAGGTTTTGCGTAGACTATCGACGATTGAATGATGTAACCAAGAAGGATAGCTACCCGTTACCAAGAATCGATGACACACTTGACACACTGAGTGGCATGAAATGGTTTTCAACGCTCGATCTGAAAAGCGACTATTGGCAGGTGGATTTGGATCCCAAGGACAAGGAAAAGACCGCATTCTCAACTGGGAAGGGACTCTGGCAATTTAAGGTGATGCCATTTGGATTATGCAATGCACCGGCAACCTTTGAGCGTTTGATGGAACAGGTGCTGGCGGGACTGCTGGGCGAAACCTGCCTAGTTTACCTCGATGACATCATCATTGTTGGACGGGATTTTGACGATCATCTAAGGAAATTGGAAAAGGTACTCGATAAGCTGCGTGGAGCAAATTTAAAGTTGAGTCCAAAGAAATGCTCTTTCTTCAAGCGCGAAGTGAATTATCTAGGACATGTTATTTCTGAGAGAGGAATTGAGACTGATCCAGCCAAGACTGCCGCTGTTAAGGAATGGCCAACACCTAAAGACAAAACGCAAGTTCGGGCATTTCTTGGATTGTGCTCGTATTATCGGCGGTTTGTGAAAGGATTCTCGGACATTGCCAAGCCTTTGCATCGATTGACAGAGGAGAAACGTGCCTTTATCTGGGACGAGGATTGTGAGCAAGCCTTTCGAGAACTAAAAGAACGGCTTTGTAACACACCAATTCTCGGATACCCCAGCGCGAAAGGAATATTCGTAGTTGATACGGATGCCAGCAATATTGGAATAGGAGGTGTCCTTTCACAACGCGATGGTGAGCAGGAGAAGGTTATTGCTTACTTCAGCAAGTCACTATCCAAGCCGGAGAAGAATTATTGCGTGACCAGGAGGGAATTGCTGGCCGTAGTCAAAACTCTGCACCATTTCAAGAAGTATTTACTGGGACGGAAATTTTTGATCAGAACTGATCACGCTGCTTTGAAATGGCTGCTTCAGTTTAAGGATCCCGAAGGCCAAGTAGCCAGATGGTTGGAACAACTTCAGGAATTTGACTTTGAAATCGAACATCGCGGCGGAAGAATTCATGGCAACGCAGATGCATTATCGAGACGCCCATGCGTGGAAGATTGCAAGCATTGTGCCAAGAAGGAAACTGCTTTTCTTAAGGTGATAAGGACTGATACTGTTGACGAGGCATGGGGAGATGATGCGATGAAATTAGAACAGGAAAGAGATGCAGATATCAAACCAATACTGGAGTGGCTACGAAGTGGTAACAAGCCAAGTTGGAGTGACGTCGCCCAATATAGCGCGGTAACGAAAGGTTTATGGGCACAGTGGAAAAGCCTCACGCTGCATAACGGACTTCTGTGCAGGAAATGGGAATCAACAAACGGCAAGGACGAGCATTTGCAATTGGTGGTGCCTCGTTCAAAAATAAGGGATGTATTAAAAGCGTTCCATGATGGATCTTCTGGAGGACATTTGGGAATTAGGAGGACTTTGGTGAAGATCAAGGAGAGGTTTTATTGGTTGCATTGCAAATATGACGTCGAAGATTGGTGCCGGAAATGCACTAGTTGTGCAGCTGTCAAGGGTCCACAAACAAGAAGCAGAGGGGCGATGAAAATCTACAATGTTGGTATGCCTTGGGAGAGAATAGCCTTAGACATCGCTGGACCATTTCCAATCACTGATTCGGGCAATCGCTACGTTTTAGTGGTTATGGATTATTTTACAAAATGGCCGGAGGTCTTTGCCATACCGAATCAAGAGGCAGTAACTGTAGCCACGAAGTTGGTAAACGAGGTATTCACCCGATTCGGAGTGCCCTTGGAGATGCACAGTGATCAAGGACGGAACTTTGAATCCCAAGTTTTCCAGGAAACTTGTAAACTTTTGGGAATCCATAAGACTCGAACGACCCCTTATCATCCACAGTCAGATGGAATGGTCGAACGCTTCAACCAAACATTGGAGCGACACTTAGCAAAGGTGGTTGACAGCCATCAGAGAGATTGGGACACTTACATACCTCTCTTCTTGCTTGCCTATCGGACTGCTGTACATGAAAGTACCGCAAAGACGCCTGCATTTGCAAATTTTGGAAGGGAATTGAGATTACCGGCAGATCTTGTATCGGGCTGTCCACCTGGTGATTCTCGCACCGAGTTTAGCGATTACATAAGCGAGTTAAGGGCAAAAATGTTGGACATTTATGAGCAGATCAGGGAGGCCGGTCTTCAAGCTAGTGATCGCGCAAAGACGCGCTATGATCGACGAGCCAATTCTGTTGGGTTTGAAGAGGGGTCATTGGTCTGGCTTCATAATCCAGTCAGAAGGAAGGGAAAATCTCCAAAGCTGCAACCGAGTTGGGAAGGTCCTTACGAGATAGTCACGAAGATCAATGACATTACTTACAGAATTCGGAAGTCTTCAAGGAGCCCTTTGAAAGTTGTCCATATAGACAGGTTGGCGAGGTATTACGGCAGCAACGATGCTCGGGACGAGCGAATCTAAGAGGGGGGCAGTGTGACAGAAAACTCTTTGACATCATGACGTCAATGGATGGTTGTCAAACGTTGCCTAGAGATTGTAAATTTCGTCTTGAATTGTCAACACGAGTTGGTGTAATCGGTAAGGCGTGTGGATTACACCACAGAGACCCCGAGTTCGAGTCCCGCCGTAAACATGAAGTTTTTTAGTTGATGGAAGTTTTGTCGAACTTTCTGGAATATTTGAGTGAAAGTGATGAAAAATTAAGGAGCGAGAAGAAGAATAAATAAAAATGAATAACGAAATTATTGGAAGATTCTGGAGGCATGACGCTCAAAAAGAATAACGAAATTGAATGTTCTAGAACCTGACCGGGGGTATATAAGCGGAACTGCGGCTCACCGCTGGCAGTTGAGTTCTAAGTCTAAAGCGATTCGGAAGAAAAGGAAGAAGTGAGAAAGAAGAAAAGTGAGTGAAATAGTGAAGTGCAGTGAAATAGTGAAGTGCAGTCAGTTAAGTGAGTTAAGTCAGCGTGAACGGCAAAGTTGTGTCAGTCGGCCGGACTCTGCTGGAGAGGAACGCCGATAACTTAACTCCGTGGACGCTGTAACTTAAGTGCAATAGAAAGTCTGAAAACCGGTATTAGTGTTTCATTTCATCCAATCCCGTAACCCAAGCCCGCATAGTCAGGAACGTGACGTCAGGCACGTAACAATATGATCAAGAATATGCAGTCCATTATCTATAGGAATTTCTTAATTCTTTAAACCCGAGGGGCATCCCATCACATTCTCTCAAGTAAAAAATTGGTGCCCCAATTATTATTTTACTTAGAAATCTTAAGCCACCAAAATTTATGTAACGGGACTCGACTTCAGGTTAAATTTCTTCGCAATAACATGATCGTTTCAACAGCTCTGACTGGTCCAGCGTTTGGTCAAACAGTATTTACACCTCGGATCCTAATGATTCCAAATGATTTGCCTTTACATTTTAAAAGAGTCCCATTGCCAATAAAATTATCTTTTGCCGTAACAAATATATAAAGCACAGGGTCAAACATTTAAATACGTAATATTAGATTTACAGCAAGACTGTTTTTTGCACGGCCAACTATATGTCGCGTTGTCAAGATCAGGTTGCGGAAACAATCAATCTATTCTTCTGCAACAAGAAAATAAAATGAAAAATATAATTTACTCAGAAGTACTTTCAAATAATATTTTAACCCGGTTTAAAGTGGACGGACACTCCCGCCTGTAGTCGTATTTCTTATTCTGGCTGAATGTCGAACAGATAAACAGCTATTGCTTACTTGACTTATACAATTTAACTGAATCTATATTTTTCTTAATATTATAAACCTGAAAAGTTTAGTTGTTTGTTATGAAGGCGGTTATCTGGAAATACTGATCTGATAATTATGAAAACTGTTTAAATATTCAATAGTCCATTTATTGAGGGAGGCAATATTTGATGTCGGTATTTCCGCGAAATCGAAAAAAACGCGGGTGAAACCGCGGGGCACAGCTAGTATCAAATATTTTTTATGTAGAAAATTTAAGTGTCGGAGAGCCATGCTCCGGGAGGAATGGGTCGGCTCAACCGGAGTGATACCTCGCCTCATAGAAAACCAGCGTGAAACAACCACAGCGTTATATTTTGGCGTGTGAGTGAGGTTAGAGGTCAAATTCCTCCCCAATTCCTAAATCTGCAAATTCTTAATTCCCAAAACACTCTTCTCACTCAAAAAAACGCACTCTTCTGGTGTTGCGAGTATTTATTGTATAGATCGACACACTTTTTCGTCTCTTCTGAGTTAGGCAATGCAAGAAGGAAGAAACTGACGATATCTTTTTTTTTTGTGAGGGTAAAATCATGAAATGACTTCTCCCGCCCAGGGCCAGGCGGGAGGGAGTGTCAGACTTTTACTGACTAAAAACCCCCCTGTTCCTTCTCCTGCTCTGGGCCGAGGTCGCGGTGCCTCATTGCGCTTACCCCGCAACCCCGACTGAACATCAGCCCTATTGGGCCCCGTCTGTGGTGGTCTATTGGCTCTTTGAGGCGCTAATTTGGCAGAGGATCTTCGCCCGGGCGACGCGCGTCTGCGCGCAAACTGTAGACGCGCGCGGGCGCCTTCGCTTCCAGTGACGATATCATGTATGTATAATTAAGCAATTTCGTCGCTAATCCTTATCCTATATATAAGTTACCATGAATTCCTCGGTAGTTTGTTCATACGTCAATTCATGTAGCCCGGCCAGGACCAACACTGTGTCCCACAGCTGAACAAAAGTCCAGAAAGAAAGAAATTAAACTACAAAAGTATTTTTGCAACATAATTATTTATTAACATTGCGGAATACAGGTACAATTTTAGATCCATTTCATACATTCAACTAAGAAGTGCTTCGTCCATATTCAGCTAGTAACAGCATGTGTAAGAAATAAATTTGTTCGAATTTATTTATTAAAACTAACAGAATATTCTACGGGGGTGTTCTGTGAAGTAAATGTGCATAGTAGTGACGCCGTTCTTCTCAACATCTTCGTACAAGCACTCGGGGCCCGATGTCACAATTTTCTGTGGTAGTGACAAAAAATATTTTTAAAATACATATAGGAATATTTTTTACTTACTAACTCAAAAAAAGTTTTATTAAAGTTTACCTGAACGTCGCCCTTAGTCGGATGTTCATAATTGTCCTTGACTCCTTCAGGTAAGGTAACTGTTCCCAGCACCATGAATCCCATGCCGTTGAGTTCACCGTCAATGTATAAGGGGAACCAGGTGAATATGGAGTTGGAACTGCATTCCAATTCTTCGGTCATGTCGTAGTAGTAGTGGAGACCTAGAACATATTTTAGACTATCAATGCTTAATTCCAATGTTCTTCCAAAGCCGATGGGTCCGAAAAATATTCGAGTGGCGACCGAGGACCGGAAGATATAGCGTTGGCAGGCCTTCCGCTAGGCGGACCCACAAGATCGTCATGGTCGCAGGAAGCCAATGGATGGTTGCGGGGTAAGCGCAATGAGGCACCGCGACCTCGGCACAGAGCAGGAGAAGGAACAGGGGGTTTTTAGTAAGTAAGAGTCTGACACTCCCTCCTGCCCGGCCCTGGGCAGGAGAAGTCATTTGATGATTTTCCCCTCACAAAAAAAAAGAGCTAATGGATGCTGGTGGCGAGTTGCCGTCCTACGTGGAAGATTAAGGCGGCCTTTGTTCAGCAGTGGACGTCTTTCGGCTGATGATGATGGTGAATGGCAACTTTGCCTTTCAGTGTTATAAACTGATAATAAAATGCAAGAATTTTAATTATTCTTGTAAAGAAATGGGTCAAGTCAAGCAAGCAAAAGACTGGTCAGTCTACTACCATAGTTTGTCAGTTACTGAAACATATTGTTATAATTTATGAAAAAACTTACCCATCCAGAGGATGCAAGCTTGCTTAGTGAAGACGCTGTCGAGGTCACTTTCATACTTGGCTACTTTCACCATCTGGTCTTTGAAGCCTTCTACTGTTACGTAGTCATTTCTGATGAGTGCCTTATCAGGGTCTGTGTAAGCACTGCGAGCGGCGGCATCTAATGGGACATTAAGTGGATCGAATTAAAAACTATGTATTATTTCATTTTCGTATAAAACAGTATTCCTATTGCATACTATTTTAATATGTATTTTATTATACTTTGATAGAGATGGTAGATAATAATGGGGGAAAAGACTCAACAACTACTATACTCTCTTTGGGTTACCTCGTCCTCTGACGATATTAGTGTTATTATGAACCTTAAGATAACGAACAAATAGGAACCACTAACCAGCAGGCACGAAGTACTGAGCCTTGGTGTAGTACTCAATGGTAACTCCGTTTACATCGGCTGACCAGTTTTTGAAACCAAGTTCTTCCATATCGTAGGCAGGAGTGAATGTGTCAACACGTACCTGCAATGGATATATGAATCATAAATTTTAGACAATAAAGGCTCCGCTAAATAATTTTGCTCCTTTGTGCTTCTAATGATAAAACTGGAGGCAAATACTTCGAGGGTGTTGGTGGGATAGTCTCTATTCTCTATGGAGCGGTGACGTTAGGATTCAGCAGTTAATTTACTCATTATAGAAATTGCAATTAAAAACTAAATTATTGTTTTAATGACGTGGATAACCTGATTGTTTAATTGTTATCTAAGAGAGTACTTTCGAAATGGTTGATACTATGATGGAGTAAAATTATATTATAACCATTTACGTACCGAGACTTGGGTTCCAGCGGTGTTACCAGTTTCGTCAGTAAGAATGCAGAACACGTAGTCGTCTGCGGGGCACCACATCTGCAGTGCTTCATACCCCTCAGCGCTGTAGGGTCTCTCCACATTCACCCAGTCCTGGTCTTCGGCACTGGTGTTCGTACGAGGACTATTGATGAACACACTATCAAACGGGTTTAACCCGAACCGCCCTGAAAAAAATATATAATATTACTTTACTCAATTAATCTTTTAGCAGAACTATTAGGTTTTTGTTTTTACATAAACTGCTCTTATGGATTTTTGCTTATAATCCAGAATTAATAGAGGTAGATTAAGATTGTCTTCGTAAAACTGGGCCAGCTTAGGGGATGGGCGGCAGAATGAATGGCGGCGTGTAAAATATTTGAATCTCTTTGGAAAGTATCTGATTAGCTGTGAATGCCTTCCAGGTTATTAAAAAGTGATGGCTGTTCTAGGAGACGACAGATTATATAAGTAACTACACTTTTTTTTTAATTTTAATTAATTAATTATTTTAATTAGTCGAAAAAATATCGGGTACGGAAGATTTGTTTATGGTTCCATATTCAAATTTAAGAATTTTTTATAGTTGCAAGTTTGGCACAACTGTTATCCAATTCGACTCGGAGTATGAGTTTCTTCTGTTATTTGTATTAAATTTATTTAATAATATATAATAATATTTACTTTGCTGTTGTTAGTTATATCATAAAATATGTATGTATGGAAATGTTACCGAGCGGTCAAGCGGTAAACAGGGATATCTTTTGAGCGTTACGCGGAATCGAAGATTGCAAATACGACGAAAATACTCTTTCCACAATGGGGCCATTGGGGAAAGAGTAGTATAACCTCACAAAATCTTTGATTCAACCATAATATTATGTACAATTAATTTGTTTTACTTACTCCTGAAGCCAACTTCGAAAGCGTCAGAAACATCTGAAACAAATATATGGGGAATATTTTAATTAATTGAAATTATAAAACCTCTTTATGTCCGATAGATTATGTTACAAAAGTATTTTTTTTAATTTTATCTTATTTAATTAATTCTTATGCAAAAATAGCCTCTGTACTTATTATTACTTTTAACTATAAACTTACGGGGATTTAGCCAAATCCCTGAGGAATTTCATCAAATCACGGAGGATGTTAAAATAACCACACCTTTTCTCATTTCCCTAAGCAAATATGTTGATTTGCTAAAATGCGATTTGGTCAAACCCCGAAATTGATTCAATGAAATGACATAAATTAGGTACTTGTTCTTAATGTTTTATTTTAATGTAAGATGACGTACAAAATAATAAAAAAAAAAAATAAGTGTATCACAATGCAATACCAATCTCAAAAATCACCACTACAATAAAAAAAAGAAAATAACAATTTACTACTCATAAAGAATGTATATTAGATGAGATTTATTTGATCAATTCCTTAAAGTTTTTTAATAATAAAATTAAAATAAAATAAAAATGGAACTCACCAATGAAGGCAGGTGCCAACAGGCAAAGAAGAGCAACTGTCCGGATCATGGCTGAAGCTGTGGTGGCAACGACTGCGACACGACTGGTGTGTGAGCTGAGGTCTCCACCGACCCTATATATAGTCGCTCACTTAATGAAAACGCCACTGTTTTTCATTCTAATATTTGCAAAACGACCAAGGTTAATTAAATGTTTACCGTGCGAATTTTCATTTACATTTTTATATTTAGGAGGCTTTTATTGATATGTTAATATAAGTGAAGAGAACAGTTTTTCAGTAAAAGTTAAAATGAATAGAGGATTGAACATTTGTTCATACAATATTGTAAGGCCGGCTCCACACGTTGACCCCAACGCTCGCACCAACGTTGGAGCGCAAATTCGGTGAGGCTTACACACGTTGGTGAATAAACTAGTTCTGTTCCGTCCGTGGTTCCGTCAGGGCCAATGTGAAGATGTCCGATACAGAAATTGAAACTACTGTGAGCGCGATTCCCATATTTTGTTGTATGGTGCGCCATTCATCAACTATGAAATTTTTATTTTTATGATCCTTTCGAGATGCTTCCCATATTATTGGATGTGCTTGATAAAGTTCAATAAACTCAATAACTTTTTCATTTGTCCCGAGGCGAGCATTGGTAGTTACCAATACTCGCCCGAACGTTGGGGCCAATGCAATTTTCTAGATCCACACGTTGGACGAGTAGCGTTGGGGCCTATATTGGGGCCAACGTGTGGAGTCGGCGTTAAGCTGAAGAGTTTGTTTGAACACATTAACTTCAAGAACACTGCCCTGATCCGAAACATTTTCCAAATTATCTTTCTTAAGAGTGAAAGTTCCCATCAGCTATCGTCTTCACCATCCCCTTCTGACAACATCCACATCTAGCTGTAAAGTTTTCATCACCGAGCCCAAACACACGGTAGCTACTATCAATATTTGAGTAGTTCCCTAACAGAGCTGAGCTGAGCATACAGATTACCTCATGGTAAGCGACGCCCATAGACACACACGTATTCTCTAGGCCGTGGCATGTGGGTGTAGGTTGTCAAAAGTAGGAAGAGCCACAGAATCAACATTTAAGCAAAATAAAAAAAAAAATTAAAATGCTTTTCGCATTTTGCCACATGGACTGGCTCATGAAGAGTTCCGTAGCAATAAAATAATTGTACGATAAATGGCATTTAAAAAAGTTCTTTCACATCTCATTCATAACAATTCTCGGTGGATGTTTGCATATAAAAAGATTGCATATAAAAAAGATATACATACAGAAAGCAAAATTGTTACCAATAGAATTCTAATTTGGTCATTTACCAAGCTAAAAAACCTGACGATCACTAGAATTTTCCCAAATCAGTACATATGCAGTTAAAATGCTGGGGTTCCAAACGTATGTCGTCGTTATTGCTATATGGAATTCACTAAACAATTTTTTTTATCGTATATGTAGGTCGGCAAATGAGATTACCTGATGGTAAGCAAGCAGCGCCGCCTATGTGGATACCCGCAACAAAAAAAGGGATTTTAGGGATAAGGGTTTCGGATATTAAAGGAGTTAAGCTAAAACTGCGTTGGCAGACTTTTGTGAGTTATTAGATAAGAATTATTATATTGGAGACTATCTTCCGCCAGCAGCTCCGCCCGCATGCTGTGTTGATAAAAAACAGCCTATAGCAATAGAACAAAATTGAAGTATACATAAAATTTGTTATTCATCGTCTCATTTTTATGGGTACATCTCCAATGGGTTAAATACCCTATTACTTACTAAGTCTCCGCGATCGGACGTTCTGTACGGATCTAACTAATGGGTAATTATTACAAATATTTCATAAAACCTATTATATTATATCATATTTTATATCGCGTCGCGTCGAGCGTGGCAACCCTTACACAAATTTATTATCCGAACTGCTAAGCTATCAGGAGTTACACCATTCGTGCCGAAGGTTCAAAAACAAACATCACTTGCTTAGGCTAGGTGTAATATGAGAGGTAGGCGATACGGCGCAGACCAGATCATATTTTGTATAGCATGGAACGTCACAGAGCTACGTGTGCTGCACCCCAGGTACTTGCAGCTCAAATGCCGATGCTTGTGCCTGCATCGCACATCATATAGTTATAAGTCGCCCATAAGTGTAATAATGGTGTAAAATCATCAAATGATTTCTTCCGCCCAGGGTGGGGCGCGAGGGAGTGTGAGACTCTTACTGACCCTGCTTCCTTCACCTGCTCTAGGCCGAGGCCGCGGTGCCTTATTGCGCTTGTTCCGCAACCCCGGTTGAACAGCAGCCCTATAGGGCCCCGACTGTGGTGGTCTATTGGCTCTTTGAGGCGCACGGTACGCTACCAAAATATGGTTATTAGAGTCTTTGGCACTTATAGATGTATCATAATTATTTTGTTATTACAATTTAAAATTAGAAAAACCATAATCTCTGAATCAACAAAGCGTGTTTTTGGATTTACTACTATTTACTGAGCGGGAAGCGCGCGGCCTCTGCCTACCCTTCGGGGGCGATTATGAAGGGTGCGGAGTGCCGAACGTGGGGTTGAAAAATACCTAAAGCTAAAGAGATGCAAATAAAAGTAGTCTAGTATGAAATAATGTATTTTGGATGACGACTTACTATTTTGGAGTAAGAAGAACTCAAAGAAAGACCGAAAATCTAAATAGAATTTGGTGCTTCTTGATCAATGTTATATCATTGCTCTTGATCCATTTTAGGTACCAAAAATAATATTTGTGCAAAAATTGCGATTTTTTTATGTTATTTTATTAATAAAATTTTGGATCACATGTAAGTTTTTATATGTATACTTTAGGGCCTTTTTAATGAAATCGATTGATTATTTTCGGAGTTGTTTCTTATAATTGGGGTTCCAGATTGAGATTCCTGAAAAAAATTGTAGTGACAATCTAAATTATACTATTTAAAAAAAGGGTATGTAACAAAGTGTACAATAGGTATATAAAAACAAAGAAAATAATGTTTGTAGAGATTAAAAATGTGCTTTATGTATTAATGGTACGGTATGTATGTACTAATATATTATTATGTTCGTCTAAATCATTATATTTGCACAGTTGTCGATATACATATTCTCCAATTAATTTCCACAATAACCTGAACAGTCACATTGGCGGAGTCGTTGGACAACCATCTGATGCGCAAGATCTCGCGGTTTTGATATCAGCGCCGAAGAAGAAGAATTCTTTGTGTGATTTTCAACTTGTTGTCTTGGGTCTGGGTGTAGATTTGATATTATTCTGATGATATTTTGGTGTTAGTCACATCAAAAATAGGCTTTTAAACTCATAACCGCTCTGTAATTATGGTGTAAAGCGCATGTCCGTGTTGTCACATAAGTCCCATCTGTCTCAATTTCGACTTATTTTCTTTTTTTTTATGTAATAGATCGGCAGAAGAGCCGACGGATTACGAGAGGAGTTACGGGCGCGTTGCCGCCCTTTTGGGCATTAGGGATTTGGAGATTTAGGGATTGGGGGTGGTGGGGGGGGAGGCCGTAGTATCACTCCCGTCGAGCCTACCCATTCGTGCCGAAGCTTGGCTCTCCCACACTTAAAATTCTGTTACTCTCGAATGTGTCAATCACCTTGCTTGATTCCAAAAACTTAATTTACAATAACTTAATAATTAAATCACCAAAGTACTTTGAGTTTCAGAGACGTATATTTCGGTGTGCGTAGTCAGCAGATGACCTACAGTCATCCCATCAGTTGTGGGTTGAGGATGTTGATCAGTTAGTAACGGACTTAAATCGGGACTAAGAGAGAGATGTTTTCCATCAATTTATTTGTCTCTCCCAGGGTAAGGCAAAAGGGAGTGTCAGACCCTTAATACTTACTTAAAACCACTCCGTTTTTTTCACTTTCTTCTGCCCTAGGCCTCAGACGCGGTGGTAATTTATTACGCTTGCCCTGCAACCCCGGCTGAACGTAGGCTGTTGGGTTCTATCTGTAGTGGTCTATTGGCTCTTTAAGGCGTGTCCGAAACGCTACGCACCATACGCTCGGGTCTGGTTCTGGTCGGGGTGCGTCCATTTGCCGTCCTATCACGTAAAGTACTCGAGAGCAAATTAATCCTTTGACTTTGAAAAAAAAAGTGCTAATTGCTTTTCTATTTTGCAAACGAGCAGATGGTATTTAATCGGTACCGCCCATGGACACTCGACACACACAAACACGAAATTTTTTTACTAGATTCGGTAAGTAGGTTTGTGGTAGGATGTTTGTTACTCTTTCATGTTAACAACCCACAGCGTTGTGTTTCGCCGTGTGAGTGAGGTTACCGGAGGCCCAATCCCTCCCCTTCCCCTATCCCTTCCCAATCCTTTTATTCGCAACCCCTATCCCCAAAAGGTCGGCAACGCACTCGTAAATCCTTTGGTGTTGCGGGTGTTCATGGGCGGCGCCGATTGCTTACCATCAGGTAATCCGTCTGCTAGTTTGCTGACTTATCCCATAAAAAAAATGGATTTTGATGAAAATTTATACAGTGATAGATTTTTATACCTACCGTATGGCATAACATGCAAGTAGGGTAGTTTTAATCCGGATAATGCGGACGAAGCCGCTGGCGGAACCTAGTAACACTACTATATAACTTTCAATAAATTAAAATTAGTTTGTAAATTAAATACGAATGTGGGTACATGTGTACCTGAAATGGAAAATGTGTAAGTAGTTATAGGCTTATTTATTCAAGTGTTAAGTGCTCCTTATTAATGTACATGTTGTTTAGGAAATAGTAACCAATTGATTTTCATAATACTTAATAAAAAACATTCTTTAACAATCAATATCATTGGGGTCTTGATTTGTACAAATTTGTATATGTATAAGTAAGAACCTTATATTTTTTTATACGGTTAAAAAATATAAGATCACTAGCTACTCTCGCGCGGTTTCATCCGCTGCTCAGCTCCATTTGATTGTAGCGTGATGTTTTATAGCCTATAACACTCAGGAACATTGTAGCTATCTATCAGTGAGTGAGTGAATAATTTTGGCAATCCGACCACCGGTTCCAAAGATTACCCCCTTCGTGCAAACTTACAAATTTTACCTCTTTATAATATTAGTATAGATAGAATCTCACATAGTTTGCGCTATATGCCACGATTCAACAAAATTTTGAGTTCCAGGGATGTCACTAAAATGGTTTTACTACTACTACTACCTAATAACTATCTCCCACTAAAAATAAATGATTTCATTAGCGCCTGATCACAAAAATGTAGCAATAAATGTTTTTTCTGCGATATGATGGTTCTGCTATTCAATTATTATGGACATATTTATGCTTCAAGATGATTCGGACTAACAAAATTATGATTTTCGAATTTATGATAGGTAGTGAGTGTATGCCAAACAATTTGCTGCGAAATGAAGATTATGCTATGCGTTGTTATCTATACTAATATTATAAAGAGGTAAAATTTATAAGTTTGTATGTAGGGGGTAATCTTTGGAACCGCTAGTCGGATTGCCAAAATTCTTTCACTGATAGATAGTTGCAATGTTCTTAAGTGCTTTATGCTATAAAACATCACGCTACCATCAAATGGAGCCGAACAGCGGGTGAAACCGCGTAAGAGTAGCTAGTACAAAATAAAGTTATGACGAAAAAGTTCTGCTTTAAAAGGTAGACCCATATTCACACCAGTCAACCTTTCCTGATGTAGATATTTTTTAATAATTATATCTACTCTGGAATTGTGTCCGAAACACGGCAGTAGAAAAATCACCCCTCTCTGGGGAGAGGAATGATTTTGCTACTGCCGTAATTTTAAAATGCCGTAAAATTGGGTGAATTATATGTCGCAGTCGTCTGATTAAATTTCCTTTTTCATTGAATCACTAGCTCGTTCATTGAATAACGCTATTCAATTGTATGACTAGGCCTAAAGTTGATTGAATAAGCTTCATAAAACGTCCAACTTTTGAACAGCGGCAGCGCGGACATAAAAAAACAGTCAGCTAATTCAAATTTAGTTCATTTTTTCCCACTGCGGCGCTAGTAATCACCAAAACCAGGGATCCCTTTTTTCGCATAATGTTCTTTGTCCTAAATTATACTTTAGCACAATTTGTTTTGGCATATTATTATAATACTTTGGCATATTATTTTAGGCATATAATTATTTTATGTTGGCATAATCATGTTAAAGACTAATTTGTTTTTAACCTTAATCCTAATGACTATTTTAGCATAACGTTAGAAGACTTAAAGACCATTAAAATAACGTTATTCAATCAAAAAGGAGATTCAACCAGATGATTGCGACATACATTTACTTATATTGTAAATATGGTATCCCTACCATCCTTTTTGGGGAATTATATACATTATTAAGCGTTACAGAAATAAAAATACTTATTGAACATTTTATGATCTTGCTTTAATTATTTTAGTAATCTGATTTCTTCATAACAATTTGTATTAAAAAAACATGTGGAATTGAATTTTAAGTGGACTGAAATGTGTTCTTTTGAATTGAAAGTTGTTTTACAGACAAAGTACTTGACGAGGGGTTTCAATGAAGTAAGTATGCAAGGTGATGACACCACTTTCGCCCACCATATCGTACAAGCACTGAGGACCTGAGTTGACGATCATCTGAAACAAAATTTCAATTTGAGTTATCATTAAAACTATGGAAAACATCCTCAAAACTGAATCCCTTGATACAATTCCTACCGAATAGGGTGGTCAATGGTCACGTAATGGAATATACTCCCAGAAAATGTAACAAAAGCACCCACAATATGTGTGTATGTTTAACAATAAATAAATAAATAAACAATATATTCTTTTATTTTAAAAACACACTGGACAAAAATCTAGTGAGTTAAGCTGTTAGTGCGTTCAAGTATAATAATAATAATAATCTCTAAACCTCGTGAAAGCTGAGGAAGATAAACAATTAAAATATTGAGAGCTTGAGGCTTGAACGCTCACGAGGTTGTTGACATGTGGAAAGTGGTATCATTGTGCCGATGCGTATAGTTGTGTCGGCAAATGAGTTAGTTCCCGAAAGCCTCGACAAGCAACTCAAGAGGCTGACGTTAGGAGGATGGATCAAGGGCCTTATACAGAAGGCAGTCCTCCTTGAAACGATACGTATTATGAGGAGGTTTTTGTCTCTAGAGCCCTAACCACCACCGGTAGCTTAGACCTTGCTCCCGCTACCGGCTGGCTACTATTTTTATATTTTATTTTATAGTAATAATTAAAAATGTAATTTTAGAGTAATTTTATTAAATATGTGATATCCTACTAATATTATAAATGTGAAAGTTTGTGAGAATATAAGTATGAATGTTTGTTATTCTTTTATTCAAAACAAATGGACCGATTTGGTTGAAATTTGATATCTAAATAGGTTTAAGATTTAGAAGAAGATTTTTATTGTATGAGTGCTTACCTCAACATCGCTTTTCTTCGGGTGTTCAAAGTTGTCGTTGTCTCCCTTAGCTAGGGTCAGAGTACCAGGAACCAAGAAGCCCATTCCAATAAGCGCTTTCTTTTCGTACAATGGGAACCAGGTCAAAATGGTGGAAGCACTGCATTCCAGGGATGAGCTCATGTCGTAGTAGTAGTGGAGACCTGGAACAGACATGCATATTATTAGCTATAAGAATCACTTTGCAACTTTTTGTTATCATGGTTCATAATGAATTCAATATTATAAAGTGTGGGAGAGCCAAGCTTCGGCAAGAAAGGGTCGGCTCGACCGGAGTGATACCACGGCCTCCAGAAAACCGGCGTGAAACAACCACAGCATTGAGTTTTGCTGTCTGAGTGAGGTTACCGAAAGCACAATCCCTCCCCCTCCCCCATCCCTTCCCAATCCTTAAATATCCGAAACCATTAACTCTAAAAGGCCGGCAACGCACTCGTAACTTCTTTAGTGTTGCGGGTGTCCATGGGCGGCGTTGATCGCTCACCATCAGGCAATCCGTCTGCTTGTTTGCTCGCGCCTTGGTCCAGGCTATGGTGCAAACAGGAACTAAATAGTCTACTCCTTTTGCGAGGCAGCCATACTCCCAAGGAGGTCTACATGATGAGATAATCTTTATATAGATAATTCTGCTGTACGTGTATATGTAAGTGAACTCCTCCTAAACGGCTTGGCCGATTTAAATTAATTTTTCTATGTGCGTTTGAGTGGCGCCCTGGATGGTTTAGATTCACAGATCAGCAGATGGCGCTGATTGCTTTAAAAAGCATCTGATCTCGGAAACGGCCCTAACGATTTCGATGAAATTTAGTTTTCGGTCCGCTAGTCTTCTATATAAAATCAATGCCACTTTTCGTTGTATAACAATGCCTTTAAAGATTTGGCTAATTTAGGTCTTGAAGTATTCGTTCCAGAGAAGGTTTTTATTTTACGTAGAGAAAATTCAAAAAAATCGACATTTATTAGTCCATAAAAAAACCTAACGATAATTTTAAATAATCGTACATTTAATTGAAAACAGAACTAACTCATAAAAGATAATATTTCAAAATTGGACCTTGTTATTGAAACAAAATTTTCAAGATGGAAACACCTTTCTTTTTTAAGTAAGACCTCTTTTTTATTAAGCGTACGATATGCAAACTTACCCATCCAAGGGATGCAGGCTTGCTTAGTGAAGATACTGTCCAGGTTGCTGAAGTCTTTGCCGATTTGCACCAGCTCACCATTAAAACCTTCTACAGCTACGTAATCGGCCCTGATTAGGTCCTTATCAGGCTTTGCGTAGGCTATACGGGTGGCAGCATCTAATAACAATTAATGAATTTGATTTTTAAAACGAACTAATATTATAAATGCGAAAGTTACGATGTTTGGATGTCTGTTACTCAATCACGCCAAAATGGCTGGATGGATCTGAATGAAATTTGGCTGGCACAAGCATAGGGTACATTCCGGAATAGCTAATAATTTTTATCGACATACCACGATATGAACGCTTGATGTCTATAAAGCTATTTAGTACATTATATTTATTTATATAAATTAATTACCAGCAGACACGAAGTATTGAGCCTTGGTGTAGTACTTGATGGTAGTTCCGTCAACTTCAGGTGACCAGATTTTGAAACCAAGTTCCGCCATATCCAAAGCTGGGGTGAATTTGTCGTATGGAATCTGCAATATTGTCAATCGTTCATTGTAATAAATGCGACACGTTTCTGTAGTAAAACGAATACATAAAAAACACTAGAATCGATATCATTAAATGTTGTGCTACAGCTTGAACTATTTCATGGTGAACACCAACAGATGGCGTACTTAACAATATTTGGTTTAAAACGTTTTTTCGGCAACTAACTTCGGGACCTGAATTAGCGTGTCATGACTGATAAAAGGATTTTTACTGATTCCGATCTTGATCGCCAGTCAAGCTTATTAAAATATCCCGGCCTCGGCCTCGTGCAGAAGAAGGAACGGGGGATTTTTTAAGCAGTAAGAGTCTGTCACTTTCTCTCGCCACATCTTGAGCGAGAGAAGGGATATCATATCTACAGTATAAGAATATTTTCTTCTTAAAAACATGAAAGCTTCCTGTATCAAAATTGCGCTGCCTTTACGTAAAAATAAACTGTTTACGTACCGAGATATGCATACCAGCAGTGTAACCAGTTTCGTCAGTAAGTATGCAGACTGAATAGTCCTTTGCAGGGCACCAGAGCTGCAGGGCTTCGTATCCTGCAGCGCTGTAGGGCCTCTCCACGTTCACCCAGCCTTTAGATGCAGCACTGGTGTTGGACCGTGGGCCATTGAGGAAATTGGTTACTTCAAACCCTAAAGGGTTAAGTTCGAACTTATCTGGAAAAAAATGTTTGTTCTCAGTTTTAGAACGCATACCTATCATCAGCCAGTAACTCTCCGACTTCTGAAAAAAGAGCTCTTCTTACATGTAAAAGGTTTGAGTGTTAATCAACATGCTTGCCCAAGGCCTATTCGAAACTTATAAATAAATCACAAAGTTGTATTTAATTTTAGGTTCAGATAGTTCATTTATTACAACTCTAATAACTGTAATAGTAATACCCTTCTCTTATTAAATGAAATCAATAGTAATTAATAGGGAATAATACTTAAAACATTAGCTAATGTAGTCGTTTATTTATTTATTTATTTATTTATACTTCATGCACAATTTGTATGTACATAGGCGGACTTAATGCATTGAGCATTCTCTACCAGTCAACCTTTGGGTGATGCAGAGAATCCAGTAGTAGATGCAAGAAGCAAGCGAAATAGAGTAGTATAACATAGGTTTATATAAACATACATAAAGTACATAGAACTATACTTATATACATATATTTATAAAACACATACTACTTAATATATTTACACATATAAACACATACATACATATATATACATAAATGTAGTGATGATCACAATGACTCCCCAACCCTCCTCAGAAGAAGCTCCCGAACTCTCTGCTTGAATGTCAGCCGACCAGTCACAGTCCTGACATCGGCGGGTAGCGCATTCCACAGGAGAATAGACTGAACAAAAAAGGAGGAGTGAAGAAATTTTGAGTGATGAGTTGGACAGTTGAGGAGACGATTATTAGATGAGCGAAGATATTTACTATGGTTTGCGCAGGTGTATTGGAAATAAGGGGACAGATAGGTAGGTAGGCAAGGTGAGTTGAGAAAGGAAAATAGAGTGGTAAGCGCCCTTTGCTCCCTGCGCTGACGAATGGGCAACCACTTTAATTGCAACCGATGTGCAGAAACATGATCATATTTGCGCAGGTTGAAAACGAAACGAATGCAGTTATTCAGAAGTCGGTCAAGTTTATTGAGGAGATCTGCATTCAGGTCATAGTAACAAACATCAGCATAATCTATTATAGGGAACAACAAGGCCTGCACAAGCATCGACTTGGTGACGGACGGAAGCAAGTTTTTCACGCGATAAAGGGCCCGCAGCGAACCGGTCACTGTTTTGCACACGCTAGTGACTTGTGTATTCCAGTTTAAATTCTTGTCAATGTGTAAGCCTAGGTCTTTAACGTCACTGCTGTAAGGAACGATCGCACCGTCGAAAAGGACAGCTGGCAGAGATGCACTGTCAACCCTACCAAGAGATCGAGAGCTACCGATGACGATAGCTTGGCACTTGTTCGGGTTTACCGCAATGCCAAACCGTACAGACCAGTTCTTGATGGTAGTTAAATCATCGTTTAGTTTTGAGATGGCATTGGGCAAGCTGTCTAAGCTAGCCTGACAGTATAGCTGCAAGTCATCTGCATACAGATGGTACGCACACCGAAGGTCAGAAGTGATAAGATTGATAAAAATGGAAAACAAGAGAGGTGATAGTATGCCGCCTTGAGGAACGCCAGCTTTTAATTCGCGCCAACCTGATGACATATCACCATGCTTGACCGACTGCTGGCGCTCCTGAAGATAAGAGGAGAACCATTCCAGTGACTCGCCAGAGATCGTAAGATGGGATAGGATGGCTAATAGGATATCGTGACTGACCATATTGAAGGCATTTGAGAAGTCTACCAAAACCAGGACTGTGGCTTTAGTGTCCTCAAGGCCAGCTCTAATATCGCCAGTCACTTTAAGGAGGGCGGAAACAGTGCTGTGGCCCGGTCTAAAGCCCGATTGGAATGGACTGACTAGTGAATTCCTGTAAATGAAAGTAGAAAGTTGTTTGTGGACACAGGCCTCAAGCACCTTGGACAGGAAAGGAAGTATGGATATCGGACGGAATTGACTAGGAAGAGTGGGAGAAGAGGCTTTCGGAAGTGGACGGACAAAGGCTTTACGCCAAAGGGATGGGAAAGATCCGGAATACAGGGAAAAGTTGACAATATGGGTTATAGCCGGCACGAGGTGATCCAGAACAGTCACAATCATATAACGAGAAATGTTATCACATCCTACCGCTTTGGACTTTAATGAAAGGATAATCCTACGAATCTCCGTCGAATCCACCGGAACGAAGCAGAAAGGAGTAGTAACGTTGGGACGCGCGAGACCAGAGATAAACCTCAGGGTGTCGTGTTTTACTAGACGATCTACGGTAGGCACTGTGGAGAAATGGTGATTAAGATCGTCTAGGCGTATAGAGCTGGGTAATTCTAAATAATGCGTTTTGCCGATACCTAGAGTCCCAAGAAATTTCCAGATATCGGCTGAAGAAGCAGAAGAGATGTTTTCGAGAACATGGCGGCGTTTAGCGTTACGCACCATCTGGTTACACCGATTTCTTGCTAGCTTAAAAGCTGCCCAGCTTTCATCGGTGCGATCCCTCCTGTGCTTTCGGAAAGCGCGGTCCCTACGTCGCATAGCCATTTTAACTCCCGGAGTCATCCAAGGCGCAGGCAGCCGTTTTACCCTTATCCGCCTAACGGGAGCATGACGGTCATAGAGGCTAGTTACTTTAGCATTAAAAATCTCGACCTTTTCGTCGACTGAGGTGGCTTCATTCAAGGAACTCCAATCGATCGATGAAGCATCTTCCTGTAATCTTGCTCCGTCCATTCGCCCAAAACAACGCCTATACAAAACCCTAGGCTTCACCTTGGGTGGCTTTAGGATGTAGGAGAGGAAAACCATGTCGTGGTGAGAAAAACCCGGGGCATCACGCTGACCATGGCAGGATACAAGGGAGAGATTGGAGGTGAGGATGAGGTCAAGCCAGGAGTCATCGCCTGCAGTGTTGTGGTGAGTAGGATTAAGTGGTAGCACATGTAGGCTAGCCGACTCGACTATGTGAAGGAGTTTACGGGATCGAGGGGAATCATGGGAAAGGAGATTGGTGTTAAAGTCACCCATAATTATGTGATGCATGTACTCAGAACCCAAAGATTCCAAAACTGATTCGAATTCAGTGAAATAATCAACACTGGGAGGACAGTAAACAACCCCCAATACAGTTTTCCCCCCTTGGCTACAAACTTCGAGAAAAAGATACTCCGCAGGACAGTTGGGAGAAGATGTAAATAGTACCTTATAAGAGAGTTCACTGCGGAGGTATATACCTACACCACCCCTTCGCCTGGTAGTTCGGTCGTTCCGTAAAAGAACGTACCCAGGGAGGGGGTAGGTAGTAGAAAGTAATTGTGGTTTGAGCCAAGTTTCCGATATCAGGACCGCATGAACGTTGCTGTTGCTAAATACGTCAAACAGTTCATTATGATGGCTGGGGATACTCTGTGCATTTAAATGACATACATTCAACAGCCGTTTGTTAGGGTTACTAAAATGAGAGTTGACAAAGTCAGTCAGACTGTCACCCAAGGAGCAGAAGCTGTATATCTATATATAGTTTACGTATATCTAAACTACTAAAGTAGGGTACTTACATCTAAAGCCAACCGGACGGGTCGAATCTGAAACAAATTGAAAAATTTGATGTTATTATTAATCGGAACATTTAATAAGATTGCGGAAAAATGAATGTCGATGCTGTTTAAGCTTTAGCATTGTCTAAGAGATTGATGATAATCTGTGGTGATAATGTATGGAAAAAAGCGCGTACGCCTCAAAGAGTCGTTAGACCGCCACAGATATGGCCCAGTATGGCTGGAGTTCGGTGTGGCCCGAAGCAGGAAAAAGGAACTCAACCAGGGTGGGAAAGACATATGATGATAGTCACCCTCAAAAATATAAAATACATATTTTAAATTTTAATGGGCCTATGGCAAAATCAATTTTTTTCATTGTGAATTAGGCAATGAAGAGGCGTCGTAAGAAATGTCCCAATGGACACCTCTATTAATGAGGAAGATTAGGAGTTTCATGAAATAATTGTACCCACAAAGGTGGATCCATGTTTCGAAAGAAGTAGTTACTCACCAAAGAAAAGCGACAAGGCAGCGGGTGCCAGAAGGCAAAGAAGAGCAAGTGTTCGAAGCATGGTTGTAGCTATGGTTCCAACGACTGTCTGCTTAATGATTCCATCAACTGTTTTTATAGTAACCGGCAAATTGTGACCACCTTTTTGCGAATTATTTTTTCATTTCCATGTTTGCAGTCTGGCCAAGGTTAATTAAATATTTATTACTTCTGCATTTAGCTGAAATTTTAGGGGAAAGTAGACGAAATTACTAAGTTAGTTAAATTATTTCAATGTGTTCCGTATAGAACTTTGATCGCTCCCGTTTTTTGAAAAAAAAAGCAATGTTTTCACGTGGGATCTAGTCTCTAAATTTCTAAAATAAAATAAAATTCTATCTAATTGCCCTTTTCTTAACAAAGAGAAAATTTTCTAATACTTCTTTAATCTTTATGTGGATTAAATACCACCTTTTTGTAGTCGTCTGTTGGCTCATAGAGGCGTGAGCTACTATGTTATTTTATTGTTATGAAATAGGAGTATATTAACCATACTACTATATATTCTTGTCATCATCATCATCAGCCTATAAGTGCCCACAGCTGAGCAAAGGCCTCTTCTCATACGGAGAAGGTTAGAGCATTAATCACTACGCTTGCTTATAATTAGAAATTAAAAGTCCAGGTTTCCTCACGATCCTTCACCGTATGTCAGTCAGTGGTGTCTAAGTAATCATAGAAAGTACATATAACTTGGAAAAAGTCACATTGGTACTTGCCAGGTTGCGAACCCACACCCTCATGAATGAGAACCGGGCTCCTTAACCTCCGGGCTACCACGACTACTAACTAATATGTTCTTGTATCTATTAATAAATGTATATTTAAGTTGTATTTTGTATTGTTTTTCTTGTTGCACTTACTATGCTCTCTCTGCATCACTCTAAGGTTGACCGTTAAGAATGCCTATGGCATTAGGTCCGCCTATGTTATTTTGTACTAACTTTTAAACTATCGCGTTTCATATTTACAACATATGTATAGTTACAGGTCCTGTGCAACCAGGTCGAAACGTCAAGCTTACCAAGGTATTAAAATAATTATTTTCCGCGTTAATACCCGCGTAACTATATGTTATGTTATTTTATATTGCATAAGGATTAAATAAAAAAAAAAAATAGGCCAACGAGCAAACGGATCACATGATGGTAACGCCCATGGACCTCGCAACACCAGAGTCGCCAGAGAGATAATGAGTAGGTACGCCTGTTTCTGAAGGTTTGAAAGACGTATTGTATCGGAAATACCTACGGCGCTAAACTCTTACCATAAGGCGATCAGGTCAATCACTGGCTCCAAAACCTTATAAATAAATATATAAAGCCCTAGAGGAGTCATCGGGATCCAATTGAGTTTATTGAAGCAGTGACACAAAAAATTCATATGATCTCTATAAGCTATAATTATCAAATAAATATAGCTTATCATAACTCATCTTATACTCGGCTCGACCGGAGTGATACCACGGCCTCACAGAAAACCGGCGTAAACCAACACCTACCTACGTTGTGTTTTGCCGTGTGAGTAAGATTTCCAGATGCCCAATCCTTGCCCCCGATCCTCAATCCTTAAATCCCCTGTTGTATTATCTGTAATTAGTAATACTAATCATTGTCACACTAGAACTGTCAATGTCATTGTCATCATATTACTGTAAATAAGGTGGCCGAGAGAGTGTCGCCCATTGACAATGTAACTCTGGTGCAGTGAGCTGCCCGATTGTGTACTGTGCTATTAAAGCCAAGTATCCAAGATCTGCCTTTTAATCATATCACATGGTGTCAGAAGTGGGATTCGAACCAATGCTCTCACAGATGATACCCTAAAATCCCTAATAAGTCACAAGAGGCCGGCAATTTGGTATTACGATCAAGAAATCCGTCTGCCCGCTTGCCGACTTATGACTTTTAGGGATAAGGGCTTATGTATCCATCTATGTGTAAAGTTCTCATCATTACAAATTAATCATGCCCATCAATGAGGTAGCTACTTTTAACCGTTGAGGAGTTTCCTTATCTAAGTGTCACACCACATCATCAGCCCACTGCTGAACATGCAATGCCTCTTCTCACACGGAGAAGGTTAGAGAATTAATCACTAAGCTAGCTCAAGGCGGATTGGCGATTATAAATTAAGAGTCCAGGTTTCCTCACAATGTTTTCCTTTACCGTATACCAGTAGTGTCTAAATAATCATAGAAAGTACAAATAACTCCGACAAAGTCACATTGGTACTTGCCAAGTTTCTAATCCTCACCCATGAGAAGCTGGCTAAACCGATCACTTCCCTCTGGGTAATCATGACTGCTACTATGTCAGTCTATATGAGCTCTCAATAATAAAAAATAATCAAGCCCAAACTCGATGCCAGTGTTTCAAATCCTTGAAGAATTCTCTCGACTGTCTTTTGGCTCTTCCACAATTAGTCAATTTATAGTAAATCAAAATATACTAAATCACTAAACGAATAAACAGAGTAGGCGCCACTTTATACATCGAAAAATCTCTCTCTTAGGCCCCAGAACATGACAGGAATACATCTTAAAAGTTTAAGCTTTTGAAAACAAAATAATTAACAAAATCGGTTCCTATCAGCGAATGAACACAATATATATTATGAGAGAGCCAAGCTTCGGCACAAATTGGTCGGCTTGAACGGCGTGATACCACGGCCTCGCAGAAAACCGGCGTGACACACAGATAGACGTGAGGTTACCGAAGGCCCAATCATTCCCCCCATCCCTTCTCAATCCTTAAATATCCGAAACCTTTACCTATCCCTAAAAGCACTTGTAAGTCGTTTGGTGATGCAGGTGTCCATGTGTGGCCCTGTTTGCTTACCATCAGGTAATACGTAACCTCGTTTGCAGACCTATACCAAAAAATAAGGTCGAAAAAAAAGAAACCGTCCTTTTTTGTAAGTCGGTTAAAAACCAACAGTTGGCAACAGAAACACTTGTTGAGCATTTAGCAGCAGACACAATATTTTAATAGTAGGTAATTATAATTAAGTAAAATCGAATTCAGTTAATAAATTAACGCGAAATGAGACAATATTTGCTGAATATGTATGAGTAACAGCTTTGCAACTATCAAAACATCGATTTTTCGAAAATATTTAATATTAGAACACTTGATCAAATACACATGAGATGGTCATAATTATAGTGTCGTGTCTTTGTTTTTTTAAACTTTGCACACGGCGAATTTGGTAGCAGTATTTGTGTCAGTTCTGAGCTCCGTGTAATAGGAGCGAGAGTTCTGCCCTATAATGGTTTCAATTTTTATCGTTCAGCGTCATCTGCCTTGAAGCATAACCATCGACAGCCCATGAGAGTTGACTACTTGTCTTTGCCCATCTGGGAGGTCTATGTCATCTTATCATCGGCTGATGCAGTTACCGGACATGGAGTTTCGAGAGGTACCCGTTTCGCATTCAGCAGGAGGAGATACCGGATTTCGTCATTGCGGTGACTATCTGGAGGACATGGTGGAGCATACGGTAGGTACGTAGCCTGCCCACCGCAATGTCAGGGGAAAGGTTAGCAGGGATCGCTGGCCCCCGTCTTTGCTTTTAGAGGAACTGGAACGTTACCTCCTCCTTTTCCGAAGTAGTCATGCAGGCAAAGGAGGAGGTGGAGCGCATAATGACCCTCCCCATGCTGCAGTCGTCACAGAAGATATTTCGAGCGTCGGGGACACAGATGACCTTATCTGTTTAATTAATTGCCGATGTCGTCCCGGGGATGCGAACAGGGATGCGCACGGCCAAGCTTGGAGCTGGAAAAGGAGCGTTGTGTTTCACTTTGTCAGTGAAGTGAAGTTACCAGAGGCCCAATTCTTCACCTCCCACAATCCCTCCCTAATCCCTAAATAACCAAATCCCCAATTCCCAAAAGGTCGGCAACGCATCCCCAAAAGGTTGGCAAACAACAGAGCAATTAAGAGAACTGCTCTGTTGTTGAGGGTGTCCATGGGCGGTGCTGATTGCTTACCATCAGGTAATCCGTCTGCTCGTTTGCCGACCTATCACATAAAAAAAGGAACGGGTTGGTTTTAGCCAGTAAGACTCTGACACTCCCTCTCGCCATATCGAGGGAGAAGGAATTTGATGAATATTCTATTAACTCTGCAGCAACTGCTCAAGCTCTTCTGTCGTGATATTCATTAAAAAATTAATGAGCACATTTGATTCACACCAATAACATGAACCGCATGATAAAGTCAACTTGGTCTCTTTTTTATTCTTTCTTTAAAAAAAAAACGTTGCCCCACACTAGGATTTTCTCCTGTGTCGTGGGTGCGTTTACAAACATACAAAACATACACAACACACCCAGACCCGGAACAACAATTTGTGGATCATACAAAATGTTCTTCCGTGCCGGAATCGAACCCGCGACACGTTGTACAGCAGCCACTGCACCAACCGTGCAGTCAAATCTTTTTCAGTCTTTGAAATAGCTTCATACAGCAAAGCTATAGTTAATGTAACCAAGTCCCAGAACCCTTACAGTGTAGTTCTAAGCAGCTAATCAATTTGTCCTAACATGATCTAACTATTCTTTCGACCCTTTTAACCGTCTCCTTATAAGTAGTCCATGAACCCATGAAGCACATAGTTCATATATATTCCATCCTAAACACTACTTGGTATTAACCCCGCTTGAAGGTAAGCAATGATGTGGCCTACGCTAGAACATGGTTGCAAGCTTATATAATTATTTACAAGCACTTTAAGCACTTTAGCCTTGAAGATACCTACCAGATTGTACCCTGGTGGAAACTTTTCGCAAAGAATTTACTCATAAGCGATTTTAATAAAATATTTTAGGGCAAACAAGGCATTTTCCAGACCTTCGGCACCAGTCTCAGAACTAAAACTTTAAGTATAGGTAGGAGAACCATGCTTAAGTACGAGTGGGTCGGCTTGACCGACAGAAAACATGTGTGAAACACCAACAGCGTTGTTTTTCATAGTGTGAGCGAGGTTACCGGAGGCCCAATCCTTCACCTCCCCCAATCTCTCCACAACTTGGGGACGTTGTTGCAGGTATCTTTAGGATTGCTTACCATCAGGTACTGAGTCAGTTCGTTTGTTGCATGTCACATAAAAAAAATTGGGAGTATGCACCAAGAAGCGGTTTGACGATTGACTGGTAGACGATGATGGAGTTGTGAAATTCCTCCGCACGTTCTACGATATGTATCCGGCAGAAGACTGAAAACCTTGCAACTTATATACATAGGTATATATATAACAATAGCTGAGCAGATAGATATACTGTTAATTGAATAGTTTTAGAATAGCAAGGTAAGCAAATTCGGTAAATTGTTGTGGACTGAAATTAATTTAGTATTGTTTTTTCTTTAAGGTATAGTATTAAGTATATTTTTTGTAAAATGTAAGTAATTTCGCTATTGAATTAGGTTTAATCTGTAACGACAGGTGTAAGGGTGATTAATAAAATAAAATTTTGCGACTTATTTCGAAGTTTTAAAACAGGGCCTCTAAAAGCGCTTGTCTAGGACATGTAACTTGGCACGCCACGTTACAATTATAAGGCACTAAACTGTTGGTAACTCATTAAGAAGAAAAAATTTTCATTTAAAAAAAAAATGGCGAAAAACAACCTTCGTTGGATGGGCGTGCCATTGTGACATTGAGACGGTGTTTGGAAGACAGACATATTATTTCACAAAAGATGTCGCGACGGGCGTGTTTCCATACACATGTTTTCAGTGAATACAGCTGAATATATTATGTATGAAAAGAATAAAGACCGATTCTCGACGGTGGAATAGTAACACGTGTGTAAGTTATACGTTGGTACACGTGGTTAATGCTTTTTTTTGTGAGGCAAAAATCATCATCGCCCGCCCAGGGCCGAGCAAGAGGGAGTGTCAGACTCTTACTGACTAACAATCCCCCTGTTCCTTTTCCTGCTCTGGGCCGAGGTCGCGGTGCCTCATTGCGCTTACCCCGCAACCCCGGCTGGATTCTCGACGGTGGAGTAACACGTGTGTGAGTTATACGGAGTAGTAACACGTGGTTGAAGCTGGCGGTATGAATAAGCCAGATCGACCAGTGTGATGATTACCTTTGAACTTAACCACTAGAGAGCATATAGGCCAATTTCTTCAAAGAAAATCACGTCACACTTCAGTTCGGTTTAGACTAAGCGGAAAATCGTTCAGTTATTTATGAGATAGAACTTGGAAGATTTGAAATTTGGGGATTTAAGGATTATTACGTAACTTAGACCTTCGTTAATAGCACTCACACCATAGATGATAAGCCATACCTACGCAACTTGACTTTGAACTGACCAATTGCAATCCGCATTATTCCTCGCCCCCGGCCCGTGGTAGTGAGTCGTGTTCTTAGAAGAAATCGGCCTATAAGCTCTATATACATATATCGTCGTTGGCCTTCAATACCAATTGGTTGGTATTGTTGATCGAAGTCATTGGCTATACGGAATAAAGGGAACAAGGTTAGAGAAGGAAAGAAGGTTACAGCAGGAAAACTTCTTCGCAAAATTCGGTAACTCACTTACGCTTCCCATCTGATAGTCCAAGGGCGGCACTGATGACTTACCATGAGGTGATTGCTTTTATCCCGGTTTGCCGGTGTCGTGTAAAATATTTAAGTCCTTTTCGTCTGTATCGGTTAGCAAGGAGCTTAAGCGAATAAGCTTTAAATTACTAAAAACTAGTGAAAAGTAAGTATTACACTGTATTATACCTAATACGCATCTCAGCCCTTCGCTTCTACCACAGACGGGGCCCTAAATGGCTGATGTTCAGCCGGGGTTGCAGGGTAAGTGCAATGAGGCACCGCGACCTCGGCCCAGAGCAGGAGAAGGAACAGGGGGGTTTTTAGTCAGTAAGAGTCTGACACTCCCTCCTGCCCGGCCCTGGGCGGGAGAAGTAATTTGATGATTTTCCCCTCACAAAAAAAGCCCTTCGCTTCTGGGATCAAAAACATGACGTTATAAAAAAATGCTGGTCAGTCTTACTTTGAGTAAAAACTATATTAAATATAAAAACTATAGTGCGCAATATGTTACAAAATTTAAGACCACGCCATCTAGACGTGCTCAGTTAAACAACTTGTTGCAGACACTTTTGTATTTACTGTGAGCAGTTATATAATATCTATGTTTTTTCTGGTAGTTTCTGTCATCGTTTAGTAGGTGGAGTTATAATTGACTCTTCATTATGATTTAGGGGCAAAGTTTTGAACTTTAGATATGTTGACTGTGACCACCAGCGAGCTTTCAGACTGAAACCCTACATTTTTTTTTTTATTGTTGCTCCGCGCTAGGATACCTCCTGTGTCGTAGGTGTGTTTACAAACATCCATTGTGATTCACATAACATTCATAAGGAACTATCCCGATGGGGATCGAACCAGATCGACATTAGCACTATCTAGACACTGTGCCAACCGTGTAGTAGGTATATTAAAAGCATATATTTAATGCTACAAGGGTAAGAAAGAGGCCAAGTGCGAGTCAAACTCGCCCATGCAGAGTTTTGTAGCAGCAAGCGACAAAAAGCTAGGTACTCACTAGATCTTGTTTATACCAATTTTCAATGGATGTTTACAACGTAACATCTTTAATAATGCAACATCGTAATTATTTTTAGTCTAATCATTGTCTTACTTATATTTTGTTAAATGTTACAAGGTCTAAGGCACTCTCTTTTTCCCTCAAAGGAGGTTTCAAACAGTCAAATATAAAAAATATATAAGTAATAGTAGAACCTCAATATCAGTATTATCATCGGGAAATATAAAATTTAAGTTGATACATTTTATGGGAAGTCCTATACGGTCCAAGTGGAATGCAGTGACTATTATAAAAGCGCAGAAACATGCCGTTTTAAAAAAAAATCGTGAACGACCATTACTGGGCTTGTTAATCCTGTCACCACACTGCACCTATATGTTCCAATATCTTCAAATATTATTTAATTAACTAGTCTATGCTATGTTCTTATGTTTGTATTTGTAAGGATATATATTTATCTCAATGTACGCCATTAATTGCTCTTTTCCGAATTCTTCTATAGTACTGAAAATTTTGTATTGTGATTGTAATGGGACCTATGTGTGAGCTGCTATAGTTGTTTCGATTTTCGATAGTAGTAATAGGTATGACTGGTATAGTAGTAATAGGTATGACAAAAACGCCTAAAGGCACGGAAATTTGTTCTACATTCCACGAGGTATTATATCAGGTGTTGTTTATACTTTATTTTATGTAGTTTATTATACGAAATATTCCGAACATGTGCACTATGAGGAGTCAACAAGTTTAAATGAAATTGAACGAGATTATATCGATTAGCCATAGATATCTCACTTGTATCAGTTTTATGAAAAACTAAATCCGTTTCTTGACTTTGGCTAAACACCTCGAGAAAACCCACCTTTCGGTTGGAGTTATACAAATGGATCTATAGGTACATATAAAAAAAACAACAATTTTTGATGCTAAAAATGTTTATCGTTTGATTCGTTTGATTTTCTTATGCAAAGCATATATTTCTTCATTGATCAATTCTTCGATACAATTTATCCTCATTCTAGGACACAAGTAATCAGCTCAAAGTTGGAATTGAAGATCAGGGTCATGGCTATGGCTCCCGTAGGCTTGGCAGCGTCATAATAACATTGTGGAGCTTTAGGCAGGTCAGACTGAAAGAAAAGAAATTGTATTAAATGTCAAAGTCCAAAGAAATTTAAAAAGCGAAAGTATGTTAGCAAAACGCTGCTTTTTTATTTAATAGCGCTGCAAACGAGCGGTTGTATTACCACCAGAGGAGTTACGAGTGCTTTCCGGCTTTTAGAGATAAGGGTTTCGGAGATTTAGCGATGGGGGTAGGCTTGGGCCTTATGTTCCTCACTCACATGGCGAAACACAACGCTGTTTGTTTCATGCCAGTTTTTTGTGAGGCCGTGGTATCAAACCGGTCGAATCGACTTATTCGTGTAAAAGTTGTATTCCCCGATGGGTACAAGCTTAGGGTCTTTAAGGCCTGAGTAAATATGTTACTTATGACGCTCAGGCGTACCCTATCAGAGGTTGCATCATCGCTTATCACCAGGCGTAAAAACGGTCAAGCGCCTGTCCATAATTAACTTAAAAACCTTGACTTTCTTACATGGAAATGGAAGTTTAAGAAAAAAAATGAGCACAGTGAGAACCTAATGTTAAATGATCAGGAACGCCCATGGGTACTCGCATTACAACAGAAGTTATAGGTGACAGAAGTAATAGTAAGGAACTTGTTTCAAATTGTGACCAATACGAGAATTCGAATGGAGTTTTATTATATGTTCTTTTTATTTTGGAACGAAGACCTAGCTTCTAAAAGACAGACTGACCGATAATTCAACTTTTTCAAAGTTTCAAGTGATTTTTAAGGGTTAATTGAAATAGATATTTTGAATTTGACATTGACCTTGAGCTCTTTGTTGGTTACAAAATTCACATGGAGAAGCAAACAGGCGTTTTTAGGAAATGGACGTTCTGTGTATGCGGCCTGAAGCCCAAAAAATACCAAAACTTATTAAAAAAGTGTGTGTCTATTTGAGTGCGATCGGTGGCAGGCAGAGATGGGTGAAGCAGCGTGACGAGGGAGGGAGCCGCTCAGGCTCTGAATGACGACGACACGCGGTTGCTCTAGACGCGACGCGTGCGCCGTGGCTCGGGCAATAATTCTTTAAGTATTGGGGGGTTCTTTTTCTATGACGCTGTCTGTACTTACCTTAATGCTGCTCAGTTTATAATGTTCAAAGGTGTCTTTATCACTCTTGTCTAACTTCAAATCACCTATGCACATGAACCTGAAGCCAATAAGCTGTCCAGAATAATAGATTGGTGTCCACGAGGACATTGTGGTAGATTTACATTCCATTTGAGATGTCATGTTGTAAGAGTATTGACGTCCTGGAATAGACAGGTTTATCATTAGTTTATTAGTCCTTAGATAGGGCATTAATCATAAATTTTTCTTTCTTTGTAGTGTCTTTGTTATTGTGGTCTTTCACCTACCAGAGGGGACATGATAGGGTTAAGAATCCTCAAATAAGGTTTTAGTCAAGAGTAGATATAGGTTTATTACGTAGCATATATACCTATTTATACTTATATATATCTCACTAACGTTATAACACAACGTCCATGCTAATACAAATGTAAGGCAGATAATCTTTTTGGTAACCCATGACTTTGAATGAATTCTCGTGCAGTGACAAAACCCATTTAATCCGAAAAATGTGTGTGACATCGAATTAGAGGCACCTCGATTCTTAAAGATAGAACAGAACTAAGTCCTGAAACTCACCTAACCATCCGATGCAAGCCTGTTTGGTGTAGAGGCTGCTAAGCTTGTCGAGACTGGTGGACACGTTACCCTTGACACCATTGAAGCTATTGAAGTACACGTTATCGTCACGCAACACCTTATCAGCATCCAGAGAATCTATCCTGGCTTGACGATCTGAAAAGTAATATAACTTTAACACGAGGTTCTTTATCAAAACGTCTGTCTTTATTTAAAAAGAAAACGTGAGAGCCATGCCTCGACATGAATGGGTCGGTTCGACCGGAGTTCACGGTGACCACGGCCGAGACCACGTTTCGGCGTGTAAGTGGAGTCCTAGAGACAAGTACCGGAGTTAAAATCCCTAACAACCCACAAGGAGCCAGCAAAGCGCTTGTAGTCTCTTTTTGAAATTGCGAGTGTCCTTGTGCCTCATAAAAATGCTATGCCATAAAAAAATTCAGTGCTATTAAATGCAAGTAATCGTGGAATCTCTATTATCAGAGGCTAAGCTCCATTTTAGGACCACTGCAGTCAACAAATAACTTAAAATTTAGTTTCAGCAGTTAAATATTGTTACCAGGTGACACGAAGTACAGAGAGGTGACCCAGAATCTGACTATCTTCGAGTTAAAGATGGTTGTCCAGACTGTAAAACCTTGTTCCTTCATGTCAAAGGTCGAGTTGAACTTTGCCACTGGTATCTGAAATTATATCAATCAGTTCATTGTTTATTTTACATAGTCATTTATTTATTATATTAAAAAGAATAGCGATGGAATTTCTCGCTATTCCTTCTAAATTCGAATTTAGTCAGTCACAATTATACGGAGTTGACATTAAGACGTGTATCATTTCTCTCAGAAATAACAACAACAATAAATACATAAATTAGTGGATCCATACATTAATGTATTTGATGTGATGCATTTAAAAACATTATTTTTGGAGTTCTTAAATGATAATGATGATGACGATAAAAACTACAATGAAGATAATGATAACACAGATGAAGTTATAGGGAATCCTTAAAAAAACCTTCGCACGAAACGCAGCACAAAGCGCAATCCTACTTGAAAGGTCGGCAACGCACTCGTAACCCTTTTGGTGTTGAAGGTGTCTACAGGCGGCGCTAATTGCTTACCATCAGGTAATCTGCTGTCTGCTCGTTTGCCGACTTATACTATAAAAAAGTGATAATAATGATGATGATGACAAAAATGATGATGAAGATAATGATTACACAGATGAAGTTATAGGGAATCCTTTAGAAAAGAGTACTCACAGCGATCTGTACTCCAGCAACGTAACCAGTTTCGTCAGTGTGTATGCACACTGTGTAGTCATCGGTAGGACACCAGAGCTGCAGGGGACAGTAGCCAGATAGACGACGAGGTCTGTTCATTGACTGCCAACCCTTGTCTACAGCCGAGGTATTAGTCCTTGGAAGGTCTATAAAAACTTTGGATCCCATTCCAAATAGGTTAAATCCATATTTCACTGTAAAAAAAGTAGATATATAATATTTATTGTTGCAAAATATTTTTTTTCTCTTCGTCGTGGTTTTCTGAAGATAGTATAATAGCGTTTAGTTCAGTAACTTTCACTGTTTAAACAAAATTCAGCTGTTTACAGGAATTTTATATATTTCGTTGCACTTTTTGTGTTCTAAAGAAATTTTTGCGATATTTTGCTGGGTCTAAGTGTGATTTAAAGATGAATTTGTATGTTTGTAATGTTACCACGGCCGCACAGGTTTCGTTTGAATCAGATGAGTTCACAAGTAAAACTTAATTCATAAAAGCATAGTTATGTGTTCTCCGTGCCGCGTATTTTCATTTTTCATTTTTAGTTAGGACCCTTTTCACCGTGGCCAGATAGCCACAATACTTCTAACAGATAAAGTAAAAGATTTTATCTACTGAATTGCGTTTGTTAGTCTCGCTAAAACTCGAGAACGGCTTGTCGGATTTAACTAATTTTGGTCTTGAAATGTCCAGAGAAGGTCAAGAAGAATAGAAAATATTAGAAAACATTTGTTAATTTTGAGGATTACTTATATGTGCATATGTATGTAGGTGATGCAACAGGACATTAGTATTATTATTTCATTTCTTACAGATTTTATCATGAACTTCTAAAAGGCGTAGCTAGTGCAATATCTCTAGAAAACACAAAGTACCTTTTAAATGATTAATAGTTTAAATAACTTACTTTTGAGACCAGCTGGCCATGGTCCTGAAATAAAACACAATTTATAAGTATTCCATATCATAAAACCAATTATAAAAAGTCTTCAGAGCTGTTCAGAATACACTAGAGCCCAAGTCTTCATCGGAAAGCATTCGCATTTTTTTATTGATTACATGCTCCAACATCCAAACTCTTAGCTTCTATCTAAGACGCATAAGTCCGTCCATATATGTGTTGCTACAATCTCGGCTGATGGTCGGCCTACGATGAAAATTGCCTACCCAAGAACAACTCATTCACTTGGGCGTTGAAAACATCCAGGATATTATATCTTTTTTCTCTTTATTCTGATTTTATTCTTTATATTATTATAATGTTTGACATATAATACATAACAAACAAAGATAAAACTGGCAATTGTAATATTCAAATTACATTATTATTGAAGTACTTAATAGTTGGTTTACTTATCTAAGTATAATCCATTTAGATTAAGTAAAAAAAATAAAAATTATGATCATTTTAGTTCGTATGAACTGCCAAAAGGCTCCGCAGACACATTAGGGGTCAATAAATAGCCGGGGTTGCGGGGTAAGCGCAATGAGGCACCGCGACCTCGGCCCAGAGCAGGAGAAGGAACAGGGGGGTTTTTAGTCAGTAAGAGTCTGACACTCCCTCCCGCTCGGTCCTGGGCGGGAGAAGTCATTTGATAATTTTCCCCTTACAAAAAAAGGGGTCAATAAATATTAGTTATAGCACTCACCGAGCAAATAGCCGTGGGTGGAGACGGCAACGACGCAAAGAAAAAAGAGAATTCGGAACATGACTGTAGCTTTTGCTAATTTTCTGCGGTCTGTCTAGCGAATGCACCAGCCTTGTATTTATATACATATTTACTGCATATATACAAGTGTTCCAGAGCAAATAATATGACGACACTGAAGCCCAATATTGTATCAAAATATTATCGACGATATTCATTTTCCTGTTGCTGAACTGTGAAACTAAGGTATATTTTCTTGTCCGATTGCGATTTTGCTATAGGTAAAGATTCTGGTTGGATCCTAAAGAGAGCCAGATGAAGACAATTAGTTCTGGACGCATCATTATACAAATAAACACTTATGGTAAAGATTTTTGGACCAAAATCCGCTGTTAGTCAATCATATAACAATATTTTCTGAAAAATGTACTGCATTTACCTGATTTTGGTAAGACCCAATGGAAATTGGAACAAAACCGACCAAAGAGAAAAAGATCGGTGTATTGTGTGAAGAATAATACGAAAAAGAAATGAGTTTGATGATAGGCTGACGTCTAAAAAGGAAGAATGTAAAAAAGTCAATAACTGCCTACCTTAAGGACCTTGGGGTAATAAATTAGATAACTAAGGTCTAAAATAATTAGACGAAATTTCTTTAATAGTCACAATTTATGATGAGTAGAGTATGATGAGTAGAGAACTTTAAGTCAGAGCTTTTCAAAATCGTTTAGGAATCGTTGCTTGCTTTAGGCGCCTACGCACAATCAATGGTTTGTCGAGACATTTATGTGTCATCACATACAATTTGCTTTAGCATTATTGGCAGGGAACGACAAGGCAAGTTCTTTAGATTCTTTTTTGATATCCAAACGACATGAGTACTTCATACGTCGTTGGAATATTAGATAGAAATCCTGCGGTTAATAATAATTCGATGAAAATGTAATAAATGTTATTGTTTGGTTCTAACAGTCAATAACAGTGGTAACAGAAACACTTTGGAATAAACTGCATTGGTAAGTCTACTATAGTGTACTCAGTTACGGAGCAGGAGAAGGAACGCGATGGTTTTTAGTCAAAAACAGTCTGACAATCCTTTTCGTACTACACAGGGTCGGAGGAGTCATTTGAATGTATCCCCCTCAAACAAAATAAGTAATAATCTCCTACAGAACATTATTATACAATATACTACTATAAAAACTATAGAAGGAGTTGAATTTGTTGCCGGAGTCGGTATTCTCCGAAGGGGTGCTTTCAAGGTCCGAGTGAATAGTTTGCTTGCTTCATCGTAAGTTGCATCAACGCTAACTACCAAGAGAAATACCGGCAAAACAACGCCCCATTAAAAAAAACATCCAATTAACGCTAACGTTCCATGAAACGCGCTGAACCCCAAGCGCTGAATTTGCTAGAAAATTCACTAGCAACAAATAGTTACAGGAAAACACAGTTGAAATATAATTATGTACCTAGACTATACACAAATATTAATTAAAGCAAACATTTAAAGCTAAAACGTCACTTCAATGCACAAACTCCCCAGCTGTTGACGACGACATCGAACAATTGAATAAATAATTACAAATTAATAAGGATGATTATATTTCTTTTTTAATATTTCTCTGGTAAAGTAATTTGAGACATTTGACACGTATTTTTTCTTTTCTTACAGAATGAAATATTTTCGATGATATGCCATCATTGCGTTAATTGCCGCGGCGACGATACGGCGCTGCATACATCGTGGGCCGAGCGACCTACGGTCGCGGCCGTAGGTGCTGCGAAATCTCTCACTTCCGGCTGTAGTGTCTACTCCTCCGATACAGGGGAATACCGGGTTGCTTTATAGTCAGTAAGAGTCTCTCAGTACCCTTCGCCCTTCCCCGAGGTCGGTGGGTCGCCGTGAGGATTTTCCAAACCGACACCAAAAAAGTACATGTTTTTCATTACTTACCTGATAGTAAGCAATCAGCGCCGTCAATGGATACTCGTAGTACCAAAAAAAAAAATACTACAAGTGCGTTGAAGGTCGTCTTACCTTTTACCTAAGTATTCTACGACGAAATAAAAAAATATATTTTCATTTTATTATTGATGGTCTACATATATTTTTAATTTTCATAATTATCCTGTTATCTATGTAAGCGTCTTTAACACAAGCCTGTCTGTGAACTGTAGTGTAGTCTAAATTTCTTTTTTCTCATAAACCTTTAGGCAAAAAGGGTTGAAAATATGGTACTTATTTTGCAGATGGCGACCAACTTATTGCGTTAATTTTTAATCTGAAAAGAGTAGGCATATTTATTTACGGAACACCCTGTACAATATACATACATCTGTTGCACCAATGTTTACCTAGAAATGGTGTTTCAGCATCTTCATCTTGGATAAGTTCTACGTACCTATTGTCGATATTTTATTCTTTTCATATTTCATACTAAAGAGAGAGAGAGAGAGAGAGAGAGATACTAAAACTTGTCTGTCAATGAATTTTTGTCTTTTTTCGTTGAAATGACCTTATCTAGAAAAAATGTACTCACGGATACTTTTATCTCCATGATTATCGAAAATTCGTTCTTAATAAACCTTACCACTTTTCAACGAAATGAACTATTAAAAAGTGGTTTCAAAATTTACGTAGTAGATGACACAGCGAATTGGCGACATATATTTATTTCTTTGTTGTATTAGGTGTGCAAAAGAATATTGCGTAGTAATTTTTTGGTAAGTTTGTAGGTATTTAGTAAGCGTCTAGTGTATCATATTCTTGAGCAGCATTCCGCGACACGCGACTCAGCGACTGTCGCGCTGCTACAGTAGAGCGCCACAGTCGCTGAGTCGCGTGTCGCGGTATGCGTCTCATGAATATGGGCCTCTAGCCTGGCTTGAAACTTGTCGAGTATCTCGTCAAATTATTACTTGAGTAAGCCGAAAACATAATAATTAATTTAGAATGTCTCACAAAAGTTATAATAAAAAAATGCGTCTAGTGTATCTGGACTTCTTGACATGTCTTTGATCACGAGACCATATAAGTTAAGATGGCTAACGAGCCTATGTATCTGTGTACCTGACGGTAAGCAATCGGCGCCGCCCATGGATGCTCGTAAAACCAAATGCGTTACTACAAGTGCGTTGCCATCCTTTTGTGGGTTATTATGGATTTAAGGACTACTTTGAAGAATTTTGGAGATTACTTTAGATAAGTATGAAGTGAAGTGTAGTTCAGCATAAATTGTCAGTAAGAAAACTGATATAGCATAGTACCATTTTTCAAGTATTAATTTCTTAAGTTTCGTACAAACATAACGTGCCTCAATTACGCTCCGCCCCTATCCGATATTTTTCGTATGTTTCATTTCGGGTTAGGTTACGGTTAAAGATATTTTTTATATCGGATATCAGATACTTTCGGCTACGATTACAGAGCTCCTTAACATCCCGGTATCGACATAAATATCAAAAAAAAAATTAAAATTAAAACAGTTTTTTTTAAAGCGTAGTTTGATCTGTACCTATTTAAAAAAAAGAAAAGTTTAAAGTGAACAATTAAAATTCCTAAAAACATAGATAAAGAAAAATGTCGCATTGTATACCTAATAAATTAATGTAGTCTGAATTCAGACGATTATAAAACAGCTGGTTTTATGTGTTGTGTTGTGTGTAGTTTAGTCTATAACGCCCGGATGTCGCTTTAATCATTACATTGCATTGGAAACAGTAAGACCACTGCGATCAGAACTTGAATTTATTATAACCTGAGCATTCACTATGTTCCGGGGTCAAGCGTAATAAAGTTTTGCGGTCACTGTCTGGAGTAATAGAAGGAACAGGGTGGCTATTCCTCATTAAGAGTCTGGTACTCCTTCTCTCCCCATCCAGGGCAGGAGAAGTCATTTGGTGATTTTGCCAACTACAAAGAAAAATCGTCTTATCAACATAAATATATTCTTAAAGTTTGCAATTTACACACTATCATCAAGTGCGGCAGCAACGTCTATATAGTATATAAACTGATATTCTCAAGCCGGGGATGATATTCGTTCTATTCATTGAATGGAATTATTCCCTCAAAAACAGCAATATGCAACAATATGGAGATTTTGGCATAACATTTCTTATAAGATGAGTGTTATTGGTTTTCGAAAACCATGTAAAGCTGTTGGTCCCGAATTTTGGTTCGCAACCTCAATGTAGGTATAGGTTATAATTGAGAAATAAAAGAAACATTTGATTTTAAACTCTAAATTTTGGTTGCTTTTTCGAAGATTTTTGATAGTTATTTTTTGTTATAGAAAACGACTAGTTATCTAGTTTTAGTTTATATCGGATAAACCCGATAGATTCTGGGCTCCGCATGAAAAACTTTAATAACAACTGGACAGGTAAGACTTGACTTAGGGCCGAGATTGTAAACCTAAAAAAAATATTGTTAGATATACTATATATACCTACTCTTATTTTCAGACATGTCCAGAATCTCAAGTTCTATACTTGACACTTTACTTTGCAGGTGCAAGGGGAATAATGTAGGAGAAGGAACGGGATGGTTTTTAGTCAGAAAGATTGGTTACTATCCATTTTCCTCACCACCCCAGGCAAGAGAAACCAATGTTCATGCTCACCTGCCTGTTATGGAGATTATACCAAACCCTTATGTAGGAAGAAGAGGCCCGTAGTCTAATTAACTTCTCCCGCCCTGGTAGCTCTACCCAAGAGACTAGTGTCTGCCTAGGGCCTAATCTGAAAGTCTGAAAGTTTTCTTACTAAGTTCTTACTAAGTTCTTGTTCAGCCAGGTTTTGCGTGTAGCGGCGATCTGTGAAGATGTATTGACGATGACTTTTTGGTTTCGTCATCACCATTTCAGATATGAAGTACGGGACCCAGTGCACAATTTTCATTTCATCTTTTATTTTGGACTACTTTATGTGACAAGAAACCTGTATCAGAATTACGTTATTTTATCGTTGATCTACGGCGTGCAGTTTTTTTTTGCTGTCATTTAATCAGTTTAGAACGTCCTATAGGCGAGCGCGACTGCCAGTAAGTCTGTGGTTGTGCGTCGACGTTGTAATCGTAAAATTCAACTAGTAATTGTTTCTCAGTCTTCCATGGTAAACATGGAAAAAGTGATTGTGTTGCTATCTTTTGTTGTGGCTGTTTGTGGTAAGTGTTCTTACATTTATGACTAACGAGAATAATTATAATGAACATATAATGTTGCGATCTTCATCTTTTTTTTTCGTTCTTTTTAGTCTTTGTCTTTTATATTTTTTCTTTTTAGACTGACACTTTTTCTTAAAAACTTTGTTCGAAGTTCAAAAGGGTCAATAAAGGTCTAATTGTAATCTGTGCCCGCGGGTCAAGCGCAAGAAGATAGATGACCTCGGCCTGAAGCAGGAGAAGGAACGGGGGGGGTTTTAGTCAGTAAGAGTCTGACACTCTGTCTCACCATACCCTGGGCGAGAGAAACCATTTGATGATTTTCCTCTCCACAAGAAAAGGTGTACTTAATTGAAACAATTGATTTTGACTTTGACTTTTTATATGTATATAATGTACCTACATATTATTATGTTTTTGATCTAATGTAATAAAGGGTATTCTCAAGGCTTTAGTCCTTGCTCCTTCCTATTACAGATCATTTTAAGAAACACTATAAAATCCATGCCCCGACCGAACTGGGAACTAAAATTGAAACTTCTTTGTTTGTGCTCTCTCAACTTACAAATATATGAATAAAATATTAATTTTAATATTGTAGTCTCTTCATCTCTCTAGTAGATGTTGTTATCGTCCATACGTCAATGCAGGGGTGCCAACTGAAAATCAGTGTTGTGAGCTCATTGTGCCCAGCAGAGTTGGCGATATATTGGGCTTATCTGCCAACCCTGCGTTGTCTGTTTTACCATTAGATATTATTTTATTTTCTTCGTCTTTTCTTTTTTTCTGTTTTTTTTTTTTTGCTTTTTTATTGTTAGTTTTTTTGTCCTGGCCTTCATGCCTGCTGCCGAATAAAGGCATATTTCTTTCTTTCTTACTTACCAATGATACAGATGTTAGTATCTAAGCTAGTTTCTGAATAACGGGCAGTGTCTACCTAGTTCGAATGCCTTTACAAAAACCAGTTTTTGAAATTTAAAGTCGTTTTCAAATAAATGAACAAGTTATGTTAATGACGATATCGATTAATTACGTGTGTTCAATACTTAACTGTTTTTCTACCAATAGAGTCTGATAACTAACATCCTGACGCGATTTCGCCTTTGTGGTCAAAAGTAGCTTGCATGGCTCTTTTCCAGATACAAAAACACCGCGGTATGATGTGACAGAAAGACAAACAAATAATTACACTCGCAATTATTTTATTTTTCTACGTTGCATTTTGAACGAGCTATATTCTCAAGGACCCGATTGTGGTACTCAATTAAAACAACTTTTTCCATGGGATTAATATCCTAGTCTCAAAAATAAATGTATTATTAAGTGCTTTCGTAATAATGTATTTTTTATTTCAGGTATCCAATATGACGGGCTTAGAGGTAAAATCTCTTTATAATCATTATTTGAAAATGTGTATCCAAATGGAGGAAAAGATTTTTTTTTCATAATTTATATTTAAATATATACAACCTGTTGTTATTATTTAATTATATATACATATAGCCTAAGTCAGTATTATGAAGTTTCACTTAAAATTAACAAATTGTATTCAAAACCTTTTAAACTGACCAATATCGATCTTAATGCCTCCTGAATCAACTGTTTTAAAAAAACTTACCTAAGTTATAGATAAAAGTGGAACAATTATACTAAACTAGCAGCTTGCCCCTGCATGGGTCTCATCATCTCGCTTATGATGAAAGGTCCCTATAACCTAACTTTACCCTCTACGTTTCAAAAATTTGTTTCATAAGAACTTTCTCCTGACAATAACAAACCCAACAAAAAATTAGCAAAATTGGTCCAGGCGTTGTTGAGTTATGCGCTTACCAACACATTTTGCGATCCATTTTTATATATAAGAAGATAACAAAACATAACCACATTTATAATAAAACTGAGTTTATTTTACTTATACCAATAACCCGATGTGGTCATCATGATCTTATTTGATGTGCAGCAAAATTCGGTTGGACGGATGCCTTGGCTGACATGGAGTACTTCTTCTCAATTCCTCGCACCATTAGTGACGTGGAAACTGAAGGCTGGCTGCGAACTGAACGGCCAAAGGGTCCACTACCAGAACTAAGAATGTACTGTCCTCCAGGAAGAGGGCTCTGTTCCCTTTATGACACCGCGGGATTTGTCGCCGGAATTATGCTTACTGTGAGTTACTTCATCTTGTGGTAGGTTTTACTTACTTACTTTACTAAGGATTTTTTCTTTTGCTTTGCATGCTAATGACTTTTATAAAGACCTATTTCAGTTTGTCAAGTGAAATAACCGTTTGCTTATCTCGTAAAGGATTTTTTGATTACTTATTGAGACTTTGATGGCCAAATAATCTCTCAATATAATAATAGCAAAACAAAATAGCAGATACCATAATTTCTCCGTTTAAGTCCACTACAGAAATTCATTTTGTAACTTTCAAGGCATCCTGTTCCCGAGCGTACGGCGCGTAGCGTTCCGCGCACCTCAAAGAGCCAATAGACCACCACAGACGGGGCCCTATAGGGCTGATGTTCAGCCGGGGTTGCGGGGTAAGCGCAATGAGGCACCGCGACCTCGGCCCAGAGCAGGAGAAGGAACAGGGGGGTTTTTAGTCAGTAAGAGTCTGACACTCCCTCCCGCCCGGCCCTGGTCGGGATAAGTCATTTGATGATTTTCCCCTCACAAAAAAAGGCATCCTATTAGCAAAGTTAAATAATATGTGATATCTTAATAAATGAAAGGGTGGGAGCGCCATGCTTCGGCACTAATGGGTCGGCTTGACCGGAGTGATACCACGGCCTGGCAGAAAACTGGCATGATACAATCATAGAATTGTGAATGAGGTTACCAGAGGTCCGATCCTTCCCTCCCCTCATCACTCCCTAATCCCCAAATCTTTCATCCCTAAAAAGTTAGCACCGTACTTGTAACTTCTCCGTTGATGCGGGTGACATGGGCGGAGCTGATTGCCTAAAAAATGAACCTGATCCACGTGTCTAGCCATGAATGCCCCGATAATCCCATTGTCCGTACATTTTATTGAATCAAAACCACAATCGGTGCATGACCGCGCAAATCTCTTCCTCATTGCTTCTGACAATGCTCAGTGAATTCGGAGCGGTGACGCGTCGTGCACGCCGCCCGCCACCGTTTATCTAATTTATTTGAATGAACAAGATCAATCGCGGAGGGTCGGGGACCCACGCTGTTGTAATATAAACATGTTATGTACGTACGTTTGTAGACTGCAGAGTAAGTTCTCGAAAGATCGAAAAAGTTTCTATGTACACAAAATGGTAAACTGGCCGAAGACGAATGGTAATGAAGTTTCTTTTGTATTTCTTATATTTTATGATGTAGGTTTTATCCAAGTACGTCTTTTCTTATGAGGGGAAAACCATCAAATGACTTCTACCGCCCAGGGCTGGGTGGGAGGGAGTGTCAGACTCTTACAAACTAAAACCACCTCGTTCCTTTTCCTGCTCTGGGCCGAGGCCGCGGTGCCTTATTGCGCCTTCCCCGCGGCTCCAGCTGATCTATGTAGGTACGCCTACAGATGAGAAGATCGTAGTTCCCCAAAAACATTTAGTAGGGACTTCGAAATCGAAATTAGTTCCTATTTTGTGGAATCAAAAGATCGAAACCATCCATCACATGGAATTCCAATCAATATGAAATTCAACATTACTACTTATAGTATTGGAATTTATTTTCCATAACTGGAATATTTATTTATTTATGATTTGGATACAGTTTCCAGTTGATGGACTGGAAACCGCATTGCCTCCAGAGAAGAATCTCGTGAAATGGTCAGCTCCGGCTGTGGAAGGCGAGCCAGCTGGAGAATATTGGACTGCTACGCAGTTCTTTGTATCAGAAGGTATCTGCTTCAATTTATAATCCAGATTATAAGGATAAACCTAATAAATAAAGCCATTGTACGTCTTTAATGGTCTCAATTTAGTTCGTGCAAGGCAAGACGGTCTTGTAAGCACTAAAGGAATGGACGAAGAAATGTAACTCGATATGTTAGCGTTGTCTGAGAGCCATTATACGGTCCGAGCGCTGTAGACAGACTGTAAGCGTTATGGCGAACTTGCTCGGATACAGAACATTCCTGATGGTATTATAGAGACACAAATTGGATATTGATTTATTAGAAAAAAAGTAATACCTGTTATTTTGTAAAAGTTTTAACTTCGTATGTTGATCTTGTGTTTTTTGATCATCTGAATACTATGTCTGATCATCTAAATAGGTGGGTAATTTTCTTAAATATTAAATTACTTAAGTCAGTATTGGGTTTGCTTTTCAGAGTCTCTGAAAGCAGGGGCTGGTCCACAAGTGGAAAACGGAGCTACTCTACAAGACGGTGGTGTATGGGTTGTGGGACATGACGCACGTCTGATGCGTATACCTAGCACAGAAGCAGAGCTAAACAGCACCACTTTCAAAAAACAAAACTGTATTCCGAATATGGGTAAGTAGGTAATTTCTATATTACATATTTTTATTTTTATTTTATTGCGTTCTACAAGGTAAAAATATGTTATCAAAAGCTAATAAGAGCAAAGAGCCGTTGTAAGATCCTGCAAGGGCACAGTAAAATAGTTTTGTTACAGAATAGAAAATTTATAGTTTAAAATTGGGTGGGCCTAATATTACACCTTGCGGTAGCCCTATAGTGTATTATTAGTTTAATGTGATATATTAATATGAAAGTAATTTGTTACTAAGCAACTGATGTATAACATAGTTTAAAGATTGAAATAAATTGATGTTTTGAAGTGTTTTAAAGATTTATTATAATAAAACTTAATATATGGTAACAAAAGCTATACAAAGAACACAAAAATATATTGATGAAAATAAGAACTAACTTTTGTCTATGTTTATAGGGACACATTATTATTATAATATGACGCGTGATCTCAAATGCGACGATTTCTTCCCATGGTTCGCGATGACAACACAAGGTGACATGGTTGGCACTGGTTTCCAGATGGTCGGTAAAATGACAAAGCCTAAGAAGGCTAGGAATTGGTTTGATGATATTACCAACCCTAAACAAGGCTTGTCGGTGAGTACATACCTTTTTGTAGAATTGTATATACGAACAATGTAAAATCGTTATTTATTTAAAATACCTACTTATATTTGAATAAAGAGATCAAAGAAAGAAAAACAATGTATGATTGGTCAATCCATTTATTAATTTAAAGAAATTGATTGTAATAGTCATCGCATTTATTTCATTGTTTCATAGTCATTTTTGAAGCGTTAAAATTGAACTGTATCAGTACTAGTTTTACAAAATATTAATCTTTAAAATTTTGTTTGACGTTCAAAAGGGTCTAATTGAAATAAATTATTTTTGACTTTGACTTTGATTTTGACATAGCTACATCCCTTGAATAAATGTTTAATAGTCTCACAAATACAAATACTATCATACAAGAGTCGACCCAAATCTCAGATGTAATTGCCTGAGATAAGGACATCCTCAGATTTGTATAGATATCCTGCAGTCTATGTGTTAATGCATAATGTTTATAGTATGCCTATTCTATTCTATTCAATAAAAACTACGCAACTGACTTCGAATAATAACACTATACATTTCTCTTTAACATTTTATGGTCTCCTAAATAATTTAACGATGCCATTATTATTATAATTTGCAGATAGGAATACCACATGCCCCTGACTGTCTTCTCGAAAGCGTTGAGAAGTACGGAGTAATTTCAATACATATTTATTTCGTCGATGAACCCTGGAAGATAAAATGCCAGTAAGTTTCCTTCGTGCTTAATTAGAATTATATGTGAATCAAAAAAAGTCTAACCGTCCCTCTCGTATTTTGTCTACACTAATATCATAAAGAGGTACAATTTGTAAGTTTGTATGTAGGGGGCAATATTTCGCTGGTCGAATTTCCAAAATTCTTTCACTTATTTATAGGTACAATGTTTCAGAGTGCTATAAAAAGATCACGCTACAATCAAATGGAGTCGAGCAGCAAGTGAAAGCGGGGGTAGCTAGTCTATAGATGACATAATGGTAGCCACACGTACAATACCGATCTACGCGAGTCTGAAGTTAGCTGATTAGCTGCGCAGTACACAATTTTGTTCCTAAAAGATCCACTGCGCAGACAAACGGCTAACTTCAGACTCGCCAAGACACGTCGGCCGTACTGTAAACACAAGCGAACACACACACACGCGTGCTATCGCAAGCAGGCACAAACATACACATATATACATATTTTATTTTTATCTATATAAAACTAGCTGTTTCGCGAAGTTCCGCCCTCATCCCGATGGATCTAATTCCCGTAAACGAATAAAATATAGCACTCACGAACATAGTAGCTCTCTGTCAGCGAAAGACTTGAAATTCCGACGAGCGGTTCTAGTTCTATAGATTACTCCCTACATACAAATTACAAACATACAATTGGGTAGTTTCCTAGGTCAAAAATAAATTAATTCGACGTTTCATTACAATAAAATATTGAAAAATAACTATACTTTTATTCATCGATCGATCGATACACTAAATTTTAGATATTTATTAACTATTTTTTAAGAAATAAATAAGCTGATTGACGCTTAAACACTATGACGTCATGACTCAGCGTTTCATACAAATTTCATAGAAAAGTATCGATTTTGACATTTGGATAAAAGTATTGAATTTGACTAGTTGGAAACTACCGTATTACCTCTTTATATTATTAGTATAGATGAATTTAACAAAATAAGCATGTCTTAGACTTTAGAAACATTAACTGGTTCTATGTTTTTCAGGACTGGTGACTCAATCAAGGCAGTACCAACGTTAGACCGTCTTCTACTTAACGGGTATAAATACGCCAACAAAATATCCGATGAAGTTGTAAAAATATTTAGCGGTTAGATAACCTAGTCTGAATTGTCTCAAAATCTAAATAGAATTTATATTTTTTTTTTTTTTTGTGAGGGTTAAATCATCAAATGAATTCTCCTGCCCAGGGTCGGGCGGGAGGGAGTGTCAGACTCTTACTGACTAAAAACCCCCTGTTCCTTCTCCTGCTCTGGACCGAGGTCGCGGTACCTCATTATGCTTACCCCGCAACCCCGGCTGAACATCAGCCCTTTAGGGCCCCGTCTGTGGTGGTCTATTGGCTTTTTGAGGCGCGCCCGCAACCCCGGCTGAGAATTTATAATATTAATGTTTCATTAAAGTCGATGGGAATCAAACACGTTTTGGAGTTTGGAGTATCTCGTGTTGTGTTTGTCTTTTCGATATCGAAATTAACCGCACATCTATGGTAACTTTTCAAGGCAAAAGTGACCTTATTTCGTAGTATAAAGGTCGTTTAAGTTTATCGGGTATTGTTACTGATGTGTGGTTGATTTATTGATGCTCACATGTAGGGCCAAGTTTCACTTTAAAGGTCATAATTTTCCCACCATTTAGGTATTATAAGAAAAGTCTTTCTGTTTTAGAAAGAGTTTTCCTTACTTCCTAATTCCCTATTTACCAGGCGAAGTAAGGTCACAGAAAATATTAGGGAAGTCTTACAACCGGAATAAAACGGTAGTTTCCAATTATTCAAATTCAATACTTTTTTCTGAATGTCAAAAACGACAATTTTATATGAAAAACCAGGTTGTGACGTCATCATTTTTTTACATACTCTGTTGATTTCTGGTAGTTAAACGTAGTTTTAAAACATTGCCGGTTCGAAATTTGAATGTATATCTAAATATGAGTTCTAGAAAGCAGTTTCACCCACTTTTCATTTGTTGGGTGAAAAGTAGGTAAGTTTTTATGTATATCAAATACTGTGCCAAGTTTTATTACAATACTTATAGGCACCTATTCACTAGTTTTTACGTGAAAGAGTAACAAAGATCTATCCATCCATTCATCATAAATACATAATATTATTAGAATGTATGTATGTAACAATGAAGATAGATAAATAAATGTGTGTTGAAATACAATGCAATTACCTTTAAGTAAAAAAAATATTTATATGACATAATTATAATAAACAATTAACAAACATTACAAATGTTTTATTTATTCAAAGTGTCATTACATATATCCATTTTGTTATTAATCCTTTACATTCCGACAGTGAATATGTAGGAGCAAGAAGGCCTTCGTCAGAACTCATTATGATGTATGTGAGTAGGTAGTTAGGCAGATAAGCGTGAGCAGAGAAGCACAAGACTTTGTTACAACGACAGTAATCACTTGGATGCAAAGCGATTCGTCATAAGCGTGGTGTACGGACGCCCGTCTCAGACCAGAAGTATGTTCAGATCGTTCTCAAAAACCTCGACAATGACGCTTCGCTAGGCTAACTTTGTTTGATGTTGACGCATGTGCTATCAAATATACCTTAAAAGCGTTATACAATATAAAACTTGTTACTACGTCATTTGGCTTTCATGTAGAACTTGTCTGCGAAAAACCATAATGACCTGTGGACAGAAGCTCTCGTTCAACATGATGACAACAATTATGATCCTGCAGTTGCAGGTCCGAGAAGCCACCAGGTGAGGTTTGGACTACCGGTCTTTGCAAGTGTGTCAGAGATATAATATACAAATTTTATGATTTTAAGTGTGGGAGAGCCAAGCTTTGCCATGAATGGCTCAGCTCGACCGGAGTGATACCACGGCCTCACAGAAAATCGGCGTGAAACAACCACGCCGTTGTGTGACACGTGTGAGTGAGGTTACCGGGGGCCCAATCCCTCCCCCAAATACCTTAACCATCTCTCCAATATCCGAAACCCTTATCCCTTATAGGCCGACAACGCACTCGAAACTCCTTTGGAGTTGCAGGTGTCCACGGGCAGCGACGATTGCTTAGGTACCATCAGGTAATCCGTCTGCGGATTTTCTGTCAGATCACTTAAAAAGATAGATTCTTCTTCTCTTATAGATTATAGCTTGATGTTTTATAGCTCATAGACGTCCTCGATAAATGGACTAAGAAACACAAAAAGTATTGTTCAATTGGAACTATTAGTTCTGGAGATTAGCGCGTTCAAAGAAACAAACAAACTACAAGTCTACAGCTTTATTATATTGCTAGCAGGCCGCCCGGCTTCGCCCGTGGTACATACATAGCCTATAGCACTCAGGGATAACTTAGCTATCCATTGGTGAAAGACTTTTTGAAATCAGTCCATTAGTTCCTGAGATTAGCGCGTACAAACAAACAAACTCTTCGGCTTTATAATATTAGTATAGATTACTATATAAATTCGTTTGTTTTCTGTCTTTTAGTTTTGAGATTTTAAGGTTTGTATAAATATTAATTCATATGAAACACTTGTTTAATTATAAATGTAAAATGATTCATTTATTTTGTTATCTGCCTCTAAAACACACCCACTTCCCCTCACCCAATTCCTAAATCTCCAAATCCCTAACCCCAAAAGGTCGACAACGCGCTCGTAGGTAACTCTTCTGTTGTTGCTGTTAATGGGTGGTCATTTACCGAACTATCACAATAAGTAAGTACCTACATAAAAAAGGCAATACCTTAATCTATCTAAGTACCTATATAACTAACTTTACTAGGGTACGTTTTTTTTTAATGTAATAAGTCGGCAAACGAGCAGACGTATTACCTGATGGTAAGCAATCAACGCCGCCCATGGACACCCGCAACGGAGGAGTTACGAGTGCGTTGCCGACCTTTTAGGGATTAGGGATTTGGAGATTTAGGGATTGGGGAAGGGTCCGGGAAGGGTAAGGATTGGGCCTCCGGTAACCTCACTTACACGACGAAACACAACGCTGTGGTTGTTTCACGCCGGTTTTCTGTGAGGCCGTGGTATCACTCCGGTCGAACCGACCCATTCGTGCTGAAGCATGGCTCTCCCACACTTAAATAACGTAACGTAGAAATATTCCTTCTAAAAAACAAAGTAAATAGCAGCAGTAATAAATTACGCGAAAGAATAACAAAAAAGATTGAAAACTGAAACAAGAACTGTGTAGCATGGAGGTTGACAAAACAGAATTAATTTGAAACGAAGCCTTTACAGTCGCCATTAAAAGTTTTACGGACGATATAAATCGCAATACTTTAGTTACAATGTCAAAGTTAAATTATTACTTTAAGTTTGTTTTTGGAAGGCAAGGGTGCGTCGACCGAATCGAGGTTTTGTGAGTGAATATGAAGCATTAGGTCACAATTTACTATCTCAAATACTGTCTTACTAATAATATAAATGCGAAAGTTACGATGTTCGGATGTTTGTTACTCAATCACGCCAAAACGGCTGCACGGATCTGGATGAAATTTGGCACGGACATAAGAAACACACTGGAATAGGACATAGGCTACTTTTTATCAACATAACACGCGAGCGAAGCCGCGGGCGGCAGCTAATGTCTAATAAAGATTTTCTACAAATTATCAAAAGTATTAGAGTGCCTATTCGAAATACCTAAACTACATATTTCGAAAATGTGCCAGATGGCATTCTACTCACTACTTACGCACCAAACGCTACTGCGAAGTCGAGATTGCTTATTCTCCGAAAATAAATCAAAGTAAAACAACTCCTACAATATTGTGCCACACACATAACTCAAGTCGAGAAGTAGCTCCAGTTTACTTACAGAATATTAAACACTAAAATATGAAAGTACTATTTTACATCGAGAAGCGCCTACCGAAAATACATTGGCAATGGAGGATGAGGAACAGGGTGGAAAGTTCCTCATCCTCTAAAGTATAAATCGTCGTATAAAATCTATGGCGCCGGTCAGGCGTTGTCATTTTAAGTCGGAAAAGTTGGCGAACGTCCCGTTGGGCACTGATAACTAACACAAATTGGACTATCTAATTGATTTGTATGTCATTTGTGATGGTAGAATTCAGTTACAGTAGCCATAAATCCATAAAATTAGGTTTTAGACATTCTAGAGAAATAGATTTCGTTTCTTCGATGTGTTTCCTTTGCTTTTTCTTCAAGCAACGTATTTTTATATTGACTCGACACGACACAAAGTTACAATTGTGATTTCCCAAGGGGATTAGTAAAAATGTACTCAAAATACAAACTGTTAACCTTATTACTATTACATATAGATTAAAATGGATGTTTGAATCATCAAAATCCTAGGAATTAGGTATAAGATACCTAAGTATCTAATAATCATATGTCGAATGGCCCAATTAACTTTTATTACGAGTGAGTTCTTTTTCCAAACAACGATCTATAAAAAGGTAGGTCCAACCGACCATACGCTGATTTGAGGATCAAACAAAACACCTAAATATTTTATAGTTATGCTTTTCATATTTTGAAAAACGATGCTGTAGTTAACCAGTACATAATGTAGGCTAAACTATTACATAAGTGAAGGTGTATGTTGCAAACCTTTTTGGTAGCATGAGTCAATAAGTACGATTTATGCAATACAAAAAATAAGTAAGTAGGTATAAAGTGCACACTATAAACAGTACTTTACCAAGTTATATTTGTAATTCATTCAAGCCATTATCAACTTTAACGTCTTTTATTGGGGTTATAAACAAATTGTTGCAATACCTTACGTATTTTTGTCTTTGCTATAATGCAATAAGTACTATTATGCCATTCCGCTCACTTCGTCACATCCGTTGTTCGCCTTTGAGAATTACTCCTGAACTGTTAAGGAAAAGTGTAACCTATTGACACAGTTCTACTTATTGTTTTAGGACAGGATGCAAAACAGATTAAGTACCCCCTATTTACCAATATTTGGAGACAAAGGTTTGAGGAAATAATTTCGTTTCGATTTCGTTCTGCAATAGTTATCAACCACAATTAAGTTCAATTCAACTTCCTTTCATAAAATTGGGTAATTTGATAATAGGCATAGTTCATTTCCTTTCGATTTCTTAACATTTTTAAG